GCTGATTTTCATTGTTCAACAACGCACAGGGAAACTCTCCCACTGCAGGTCGCGGGATCGAATCCCGGCTGCGGCGGCTGCATTTCCGATGGAGGCGGAAATGTTGTAGGCCCGTGTGCTCAGATTTGGGTGCACGTTAAAAAACCCCTGGGGCTCCATATTTCCGGAGCCCTCCACTACGGCGTCTCTCATGATCGTATGGTGGTTTTGGGACGTTAAACCCCACATATCAATCAAATCAAACTCTCCCACTGGCACTACCTTGAAGGTCAAGATCTAGTGCCTATATGTGAGGGTTGGCCTGCAGTGAATGGTATACGGCCAGTGCGCGAGAAGTCGGTTTTTATTGCGATAGCAATTATATGTACATTCTCGGCTGAGTTTTGCCGCCGGCGTTGCCGTCACTCACCGTATATGTATACGTATCTATACATGGGGAAGCGCAAGAAAGAAAAATAATCCAGAAAAGACTTCACGTGGAATCGAACGTGGAACCTCTTAATTGTGAGTGCGAGGTGTTTAGTCATTGAGCCACGAAGGAGCACGTCCTTTAACGTTCAAACGGCGATCTATTTATATCTACCGCTTACCGCTGGTGACGGGCGTCTCGGGGGAAAATATCGTGTTTTCAGCATTGCGGTCAAGATGGCGCAATGAGCGCGCGTCGCCACATCATCACGACGCTGCGGCGCGCGCACTGATCTCCCACGCGTACTTTGCCCCGCGGAAATGGGGCAGGGTGGACGCTTACGCGTGCGCTTATCTCGCGGTGGGGACAATCGTACGTCTTCGCTGGCCTTGGGCTTTCACCGGAACGATTCCGTTGTAGTTACCGGGCGCACCAAGGTCACTGCAATCATTGCACAATCTCCGTTTGCGGAAAGGGCGCGCTTTTTCGACACAGCGAAGTAACAACTGAGACGCTTATTCGCGTTCATCTGTACCTGTGAGTACGTTCCGTGCGTAATTTGTGCGTGAGAAACGCGGGGCACGTTTAGATCTGTTTGTCATTCTGCGCGTGACCTTCCGGTTTGTTGCTATCGCGTTCATTGCTTCGCCTTTGCGGCAAAGCCGCGACTCTTTTCAATCAAGAAACCCACTGTCAGACACTGCCTGCGTCGGTGTTGCGAGGGAGGCAAAGGAGCGTAGGAAAGAAGGAGGGGCACGTGTGTCATGCCGCACACAGGAGTGAGCTCGACCACAAGACGCTTCGCATCTAAAAATAGACGTCTAAAGTACAGCTGTTGCACAACGCAATGGGGACATTAACGCTTGATACAAATACCATGCAGTCATTTTTTTTTGTTGATGTCAATGCCCATGGGTGCTGTTCTTCCGATTGATAGTCCTCCAAATACATGCCTGTTAGCCGGGTTTACATGTGCGCCTATGCTTTTTAGAGGGATTGCCAGTCGGATATCTAACCGATGAGATAAATGTGATTACAACCGCACTCTGTATTACGTGTCCGCATCTGAATGAATGTTGGTTTACAGTCTGCGCCTGTCACGTATGAAAACATTTTCTCTTTTCTTTGGGCGTTTTTAGCGCTATCTAATGAGTCATTATGCAAGTTCACGTGCACGGCCGCCATGTATGGTTTAATGTATGGTTATTTATTTCACTCACGCTACGAAATTTTATCCTTCGGGAAATGTTGGCGTTGCATGGCCGCTTTCCAATCATTCAATCAATCAATAAATAAATCCACGCCATGGAAACATGTTTGGAGTGAGCGCTGTTCGTCCGCCATGCATCGCCATCCTGCTCACTGCACGCAACTATGAAGCGCACCAACGAGCAGCCTCTTCTTCGGCTTCCTTCGCCCTTGGCACGGCCCTTGGGTCATTTCGGTCCCGCCATTTTTCACTCTTGCGCCCTATGTACAGGGCGGCAATGTTGCGGATCGCGAGAATCTTCTTTTTAAAGAGGGAGCTTATCGTCTGTGTCTCTTGGGGCGACATAATGAGGTGTCATTTGCAAAGAATGGGACCCCCCCCCCCCCCCCCGTGCTTGCGATCTGAGGCCTCAAGCACCAACCATAGCTACGCGTTTTCCCCATTTCTCATCCAACCTTCTGTGCTGCGTCTTTTGTACCAGCAGTCGATTCGTCATCGAGTCTTTTTATTGCAAGTCTTTGTTACTTAATACTTGCACCTGTCCCATCTGCTCAAATGTTGGCTTTGTCTAATGAAAGTAGCCCAAATAAACGTACCTGCGTTGGCTCTTGAATTATTTTTGGCTTCGTTTGCCGCAACGTCGTTCCTCAAAAGTATAGCCGGACAACCCTATACTTACCTAAAACTAAAGCCTGAGTATAAATATTCCACAGTGAATGAGGGAAAAGTGACACCCTATAACTGGTGACGGCGACCGCGAAATTCGGAAACCCAGCAAGGGATCTTGTGTCCTTTAGGGTAATTAAGGCAAAATCGGACGCTGGTCTTGAAAAAAACGCGTGACATATGCGCGACGCAGGAACTCGCGTGGGTTACCAGAACCGAACCTAAGAATTTTGCGCAGCAGCCTTTACGAAAGGCTTAGCCATCAGTCATCATTACCAGCCACAGAATGAACTTATGCTAGCGTACGGATAGGGTGTTTCTTCAAAAAGTATGCACGCACTTGAAAAAAGGCGCGCAAGGACAACAGTGGTCGCGTGAGGCGGTCAGAGAACCGATTTTATGCCTTGTTCGCCCTGCGCACTATAACGTGCGTTTTGCAGGACATCGATAAAGTTTTACACCCACTCAGCCTTGCACCACTATTGCGAATAACTAGTGTTGCCAAAGCCCGAAGTACTGTCGGAGCTGAATGATCATCCTTGACTATTTTATTCTATCTTCTAGCCCTTTCTTCCTCAATTTCTGTGTCTTTATTCACTTTGCATCTTTCTTTATATTTTCTTTTTTCTCTCACATACCCTACATCGCCGGGCGTAGTTCTCGTTTGACGCTAGCGCCTGCTGTACTCGGTTGGTGCTTGCCCGATGAATCCTGTTGAGCGTACTCACCCGTGGTTTTTTGCGGACAAAAACATATTTGTACTTGTTCGTGGAGGCTCATATCTTACGTTAGCAGCTAGGTTTTTGCCTTTTTATGTTACGAGAGAGTAACATTTTCCAAACATTTTCAAATACATGCGATCGGTAATGTCATTTTGTAATGTTCAATAATTAATCTGCGACCTCGCAAAGAACGGACGGTGCATCACGAAACGGTGCTGTAATCGTATAATACATCAGAAAAATTATTTCGATCTGCACATTTCGCGCAAATGCATATTGTTCGGATGGTTTAGTAAAATACTTGTGGCGCAACTGATACAAGAATGAAAAAAAAGAAAAGGACATGATAGGGCGCCAGTCTCTCAACTCATTTATTTTAACCTCACATCACCCAAATATATATACTTCCAGAATGCGCACAAAGTGGCAGTGACATTTCCACTGCAAATACGGATACACACAATGCTGCGCCAATGACTATGTGCTCTCTGTTGGTTGACGTCATATCCCGTACTGCCGGTGATCCTGCCGATGAGAGCGTGGTAGACAGTCGCGCAGGAAATCGGCTGGCATGTCGCCCTCCACTGTAGCGAACGTTGCCCAGATAAGTTCTGAAGTGTTTATTGCAACAATTGTCTGATTTACCCCGTTTGCCTCCCTAGTATGGTGTTGGGCCTAGGGATTCTTTGTCAGGCGCAACTGCACGAGGTCAATATATCATGGAACTAAGGCACAGGAGACCTTAGTGTACTAATTATGGGCTGAAAGGATGCGAAAGGGAGACTTCCCTTTCCTCTGTGACCCCCTCTTCCTCTGGGACAGTGGGAACCAAAGGTTCTCGTTCCTCATATAGTGTTTACGTGACGTCACAGACAAGAGACTTGACTCCAAGTCGCAGTCCCCAGCATTGAGGCACCATGCTCCTCAGCAAGCGGTATAGCCGAGTACCTTAATCTTGGGAAGGTCTGTTGGCAGTCGAAGCGCGTCCTTCTTCTCGCCTCATGTGTATGTTTTTCTTTAGCGGCAACAGAGAGGTTCTTATCTGCGCTGGGTACCTCAACATTGCGGCTACCGTGACTTTTTATCTAATTAGAGTGTGTCAGTGCAGGTATGGCTAGTGCAGGGGAGGACACACGGTCCTTCCGTGCTCATCTTTTGTGCTATATGTCCGCTTTAGGGTGAGTACAAGAAAACGCGAGCAAATACCAGCACTAATCTGGTGTCACAATTTCTATAAGATTGTTGCTCTACGCATTCGAGTAAGAGTTCATGCAGCGTCTCAACCGGCTGGTACCCAGAGATGGCGGCCATGGTGGAATACGAAGAGCACGTGCCCCCCCTCCCCCTTCCCCACCCATGCTAGCGGCACCAGCCCATTCCTCCTTCTCCAGCTGCGTTGCCACACGGGTGTGCATCTTTGGGTACTGGGGTGGGTATCACACACTGCCTCGTGGATTGACGCCCCGTTGCGCTTTCGGCTCTACTCGCCTTCCTTGAAGATTCGAACCTTATCGCGTGGCTTTTTTTAATCCACTCGCCACAGTTAACCATCTCTTCTGCTCTTCGCGAGTCGGAACCTTTCTATTTTTTCAGTCTTTTCTGTTTCACTCTCTCTTTTATCCCTGTCCCTCCCAAGTGTGTTAACGTGTCCTCACTGCGACATTATCGTGCGCTCCTCCCTTCATTTCCCTACCTTTCCCCTCCAACATTCTTGGTTTTCCCCCTTTCTGTTCTTTTTTTTTAAATGAATAAATAATCACTCTTACTCCAAGACAAAAAGCCTGCCAACAGTTTTGGTCATCTTACAGAAGGGGTGGGGAGGCTCAGTACTTCCAGCACCCCCCCTCTTTTTTTTTTCTTTTTGGGTACAGCGGGTGAGTGCCTTTGAGCAGTCTACACTGTACTCCCCCCCCCCCGCCCCTCCCCTTTTTTTTTTTGTACAAGTGCATCGAGGCCCTGCAGTTTGTGACCAGTTCCTTTTTTCTGTTCGCAGACGGCGCGGACATGTCGCTGAGCGAGCGGCTGAAGCCCCGGCCGACCGCGGACCCCGGCTCGGGCTCCGTGTTGGCCAGGAGCCGCTCGTTCGCCGGTCTCCTGCAGGGCGGCCACCGGCGCACGCCGAGCGCCGCCTCGGGAGTCCCTGCCGATGGCAGCCTGAGCAGCAGCAGCGGAGCCAGCTCCGGATCGAGCACCCTTTCCAAGAGTAAGTGCGGGCGCGATTCCGTACGTAGCGCTAGTAGTGGATGGGATCAAATTCTGCGCTGAAATGAAATGTCACGAGGTCGTCACCTCGGAGTTTTCGAAACTGAACCTCATTTGGGTGAGCCTGTGCCCGGAAAGCGAATCGTCACTTTGCAGGCAACACACGCTTAGTAGTGTCGGCCGTTGATAATCAGATGCGTGGCGAGGCGGTTGGCGTTCAACATTCGAGTATTATTACCACGCATGATTATCACTGGTGGCCGCGTTTGTTCCAGAAAAACCTCAGTTTCTCGCGTTTGTGCACTCAAACCTAACAGATAATCCTGAAACAATCTGGAATCTTCCCAGACATTCTCGAACATAGATAACAAAAAGCTTGCGTGGCAATATAGTGAACTAATTGCTGCACGATTGATTGATCGATTTGTGGGGGGCTCCGGAAATTTCGACCACCTGGGGTTCTTTAACGTGCACCCAAATCTGAATACACGGGCCTACAACATTTGCGCCTCCATCGGAAATGCAGCCGCCTCAGCCGGGATTTGATCCCGCGACCTGCGGGTCAGCAGCCGAGTACCTTAGCCACTAGACCACCGTGGCGGGACAACTAATTGTTGCACGTGGCCGCCATTAATTTATTTAACTCTATAACTAGCCAGATTTTATTTTTAGCTCTGTGTGTTTATAAGTGTGACTCTGTCTAGTGTAGAGGGAAGTGCTAATTGTTAGCTGTTATGAGTGCTGGAGGCACGAACATTGCCGATCATACTCGAGAAATACACACAAATAAAAACATATCTACAGTGAAATCACGATATAATGAATACAGATGTATCGAATTAGATGAACAATATTCATGTGACGAGTACAGTGATGCAATATGTGCATTTATAAGGAATTTTCAGATATAACGAACCCTACTTTCATGTCGGATTAGACTGTTGCAGTGGCTTTAGTCCGTGCCTCACTTCACTGCAACACCACCTCCCTCTATATCGATTCCTGCTGAAATTTCTGGGAATATAGAGTGTTCTGGTATAGCAAATGTGCACTTGCAAGGAGCTTGTACTTTCTTTTTATTTTATCCAATACACAGCCAAAGCTTGCAAGGCATTACTTTTGTAATTTGCAGTGTGCCTATAGCTTACTGGTGTGAGTGCTTCTCAACTTGAAGCCTATTGTCGATGCACTGGTCTTCATAACATGTTTGTATTATTAGTTTAGTGAACTTCGTCACATCTGTATTGCTTGAGTAAATATTCAAGTACACATGCTAAATTATTTTACCAACACTGTGTTCACATAAGTGAATGATGACACAATTCACAGTTCATGTAGAGCTCACCTATAGGTGCTTGGTTTTTCATCCCTTTATTTTTTACTGTTGCATACAATAAATAAATAAACGTTTGTATAGTTGCTGTATTGCTATGATACTTAATTCTGACAATTAGGTGTGACGTGCTCTTGAGTATGATTTATACTTGGAGTGTCTCTGTCTACTTCATACTGGTCTTCACTACAATGGCACTGCCAGCTATTACTACTGCATTGGTGATACAGATTGGTGATACAGAAGACACTGCCTCAATTCATAAGCAACATAGGCGTTAGCACACATCTAAAACTCGTATACCCACAAAGTATTATGTCTTAAAGGGCCACTAAATAGAAAAAAGATTTTTCTCATATTGGTGAGTCACTCTCGCACAATTCCAGAATTGCCACGTTTTCCACAACAGGACTCTCGGGAAGCAAGAAAACGCGTCAAAGGAAAATGGAGGTGCCGATGCCAATTCGACGTTTTTGCACCGGATGCCGTGAATACACAGATTTTCACAGCGCATCCTGTGTCTGATATAGTTCCTAATTGGTACAAATTGACCTCTTAGGGGGCCATATACAAGTAATTTCATTGAGGTAATGTTGACAAAATGAGACACGTACAGTTTGAAATCCGTAATGTCACTCGTGCATATTTTGGTGCAAAATTTCACAATGTAACTTTGATCTTGATTTTCTTATTTATTAATTAGCTAAGGATGGTGAAGTTAATGTGATCAGAGTTCTCAGAGCGCACTTTATCAATCTAAACTCACTCATTGTTTCACATTATTGTTCTTTTAGGGGTAAGTCTGACTGCAGAAAAAATGGCAAAGGCATTCCCTCTTGTAACACAGTCTTGCAATTTTCTAACTCATGGGCAGGTTCAGTGCTAGGTCAACACCATAGTCCGCATGCACCTCGACGCATCTCCAAGGCATTTCCTCTACATGGTCTGGGAAACCGCCCAGGTCTCCTCGGCCAGCCAGGACTCTCCTAATCTTCAACGCCGTGGAAAGGGGTCTCAGGTATGACTGACTGCCATTATTTCGCTCTATCACATTCGCCATGTAAGACATCTTTTCTTTTAAAAAAGAACCTTAGTAGTGCTCATAAGGGAATACATGGGTCCTTAATAAATATTGTTTTAGTAGTTGTGTGAACTTGGTGAATTGAATAAAATTATTTAGCTTATATAGATTCCAACTCTCTAAATAGATTTTCTATTGCTGCATTTGAACAAAACATGTGCCAGTTCTAAAAGCACATTTCGTACAGGGCTTTTCCCCCACTTCACTTTGTTTAACAAAATAACAAATTATGTGGCAAAACTCCGGTTATGCTAATCTTGTTTTCAATGAACTACGAGTAAATATTTTGTGGCATACTATTCATAATTATCAAGAAGTATAATTTAGTGAGCAATGCTATAAGAAAATAAATAGCGTCACTGGCTAAGCCACATTCCTAGTAATCTTGCCACATACCGAGTTTTCGTGTTTGACAAGGCAAAGTTGCCCCAAATCTCTGCAAGAAATATGCTTAAAGGGGCCCTGCAACACCTTCTCAAGTATTGTAATACTTTTTCAGGTAATCATAGAGTGACTTGATTTAAAAAGCTTATTGCCTCACAAATCAACTGCCACAACAGTTCTTAGAATCTATCGAGTGTGAGCTGAGTTGGATTTTCCGCACACTTTTTTTTTTGGTGGTGAGGGTGGGACGACTACCTCACCCTTGCAATTCCCTTCCACTACTCGTACATTTAGAACTTGAAGAAAAAAACTGAATAAGTGCATTAAGTTTCAATCTATTCATCCAACTATTCAAAAATTATTTCTTTAAGAGACAGCCAACTGACCATAACGATGTGATCGTATCCGTGTAAAAACAAAAAGACGTTGAAATATAGTGACCCATTTCAGCATGCTCTTTCTATTGTCAGTAGTGTTTATATTTCTAAATTGCGCTTTAAAATAACAAAAACCATATACACACTAGTGCTAAGGCAATCGGTTCTAGCCTCGAATAGCACAAGTCCACTCGTCAAAGCGTCGGCTCGAACACAAAACCTCTGTTTTTGAAAGAAATATTTAAAAGCAGCAATCTGAAGGGTGGTAGAATGGTAGAGGTAAGCAGCACATATACAGACTGCAATGACTTGGCAAGAAAATGAGGATGATTTCATTGAGGAATAACTTTGCTGAAACTGTGCTTTCATTCATATGTGCTTACATTGAATAGCAAGGACCTCACTTGTTTGTTATGAAAAATCTTACATGAGTCATACTTCTTTTTTTAGAGCTGCAGTAATGAATGATGCCTGATATGATAATGTACAGTGAGTTTCTTCTAATTGTTGCACTTTTTTCTGGTTGTTTATTTTTTCCTCTGCAGGGAATGTGTCAGTTTAGCGCAGGAGGACATTCTCAGCTTGAGATCCTCTGTGGATAATCTGTCACTCTCCTCATCGCAGGTACGTATTATTGGAATGGAGAACACCTTGTGTTATGTCCACTTTGCATCTTCCAGCATTACTTAGTTGGACTTATGCTTAGATATGATGTCAACGTGCTTCATTAAAGCCTCGCTGTTTTTAGTGCCGTAGTCTTGAATGTGCTGTATGTTGCATAATTAATGGAAGCACACATGTATATTTATATTAAGATGAAATGGCTGACATTCGCACACAAGTAGCAATTCAAAATGCATTTCATATTATGCAATGACTGGAAGCAATGCTTGTCAGTTTTTCCCAATGTAACAACACCACTTGCGATAATGCGAGATGAGAAATTTTTCAGCAGTGGAATGGTGGCATTGCAAAAACAAAACAAAGCTTATCCTTTGGCCTGCTTTACTTCAGTAATCGAGAAATTAACATTCTTCAAATATTACGTCGCTACGTTTGACATTTTTTTACTTACAGACAGAATTGTTCGGTAATATCTAGACACTGTACTGGAGGATATGTGCCTTTAAATGCCACCCACTTGCCTGCAAACTTTGACTGTGGCTGATTCGTTCATTTTGCTTGAGGGGCTATCTTATATATGTCTGGGTTCCTTAATATTGCAACATGTTGTAGTGTTTGTGCCATACTTTCCACGCTGTGTGATTTCGTCACATTTAGTCATGTTTAGCTTGCGTTGTCATCTTCCTGGCCATTTCTGTTCCTCCTCTTGTTTGCTTAGATTTGTCTCCTCTCTTTTTCTTGTCTCGCCTGTCCTTTTACCCATCTGTCTCTTCAGTCTCAGGGAAAACTTTACGATTGCGAGAAGGTGAGGAACCATTGGCATGTCTTGTGCTGTGGTTCTGCTCGTGCATGCAGGCTTTTGTCAGGAACGTCAACATGTGTTTCCTTCCTGTGAAACTGATATTTTGAAGGCACAGTGTATCGATTCGTATACTAGCAATGCAATTAGTGAAACATAAGCAGGGATACAGTGAAAGAAGGGCTGTACGTCGAGGAAAAATAAGAAAAGGGACACCAAGCTTGTTTCCAAGCAAAAGTGTGTTTTCAAACATGACTGTGTGACTGACTTATGTAAAGTATTTATGGTGAATACGGAGTATACCTTTATGTTTGGAATAAATTAGCTTTTATAGTTTCTTAAAATGACAATTCAGGTCTTCCATATGATGTTGCACTCAGATACAAGCCTGCTATTATGATTATTTTTGAGTTCAGCATGTTTTACGTCATTGATCGTGATCTCTTTTTTGCACACAACCTTCTCATTAACAATGCCTGCCTTGCAACTTACTTTGATGTATTTCTATTTTGACATTAGCCTAACACTCAATGAGACGAATTGTCGAAATTCTGATGTGGAATGGCTATGTTCGCATGCCTATGGCTTTGTCCTGATGCCTGTTTTTCGACACAGTTTGTGTTGCTAAGTGTGGAGAACTTTCCACTCGAAGTTACGCCTGCTGCTTTGAGCAATGCAGGTGTTTAAAGTATCTTGCATAATTTGAATATCTTGCTTCTTATTCTTCCAGCAATTGAAGGCAGCTGAGAGATATCTCAAGCGAATTGAGTTCCAGCTTTCCAAGGTAAAGTACCAGTTTCTCATAGGTCTGTTGCTTTGATGGCCCGTCTTATGTTTAGAATAATGTGCATACTAAACGAGAGGGGCTACTAGTTTATTCATCATGCCTAATGAAATTATGCACAGAACTTATACCTTTTCATATTTTTAACATTCATCTTCATCCAAGTAGATGAGTGTTTTGCACTACATTTGTGTTATAATGTGGCCGTCATATCCTAACACAAAATCTACAGCCTCATGCTTGTGCTCATTCACTTAACCTGCATGGAGAATTACAATCACCTTTTTAGTCTATTGCAAATCAGTTCCTAAGGAAACATGCAAGAAGGCCGAATTGAGTCATGAAGGGTAGGGCATAATTGATCAGCACTCATTCGTAGCATAAACTCGTTTCTGCAGAACTTTGTTAGTTCGGCACTTCGTGTTACTGACTGCACTTCGTGTTATTGACTGTAATTCACCCTTGTGCCTAATATAATCTTGGTTATGTAAATTGCATGGTTGTGACCACTTTGGAAAGATGTTGGTTTCGGGTTTGATCACCGAAGCAGTGGTGCAAATATTTCTTCAACTAGGAGCTTTCTTTTTTGGGAAATAAGTTGATTTCAGAGTGGCATTGTGCGACAAACAAGTAGTTTTCAGTTGTCCCTTTCATAACCTTTTGCAGTTATAGCAACGTGTGGCAAGACTCGCAGTGAAGCCGTTCTGCCATTCCTCCTGCTTCTTTCTTTTTTTTTCTAGGTGGAGGAGCTCCGCGAGCATTATGAGGTGCAGCAAAGGATGCGTGATGGCGTGCGTAGCATGGCGTACGCCTATGTTCTGTCTCCTGGGTGTGAGAAGGACAACGCTTTGCACGGTGTCCGTTCCGGGTACCGAGAGTGCGTTGACACCCTGTGTGTTCTGGAAGCCCACCTGGAGCAACTCATGGGCACCCTGCAATTCCAGATGCGTGGTGAGTGTACACTCACTGCGACACTGCAAGTACATGCAGAGAAACACCATGTGATTTAAGATCACAACGGGCTTGGCCATTCATCCACACAGAATCAAGACTATTATGACTCAGCTATGCAATATCAAAGTTATCAAATTGTAATTGAAAAATTCGATTCCAATAAATTAATAAATGATTCCCACTTCTTGTGCTATTATAGCCTCAGTTTAGCTTTGTTCTAAGCAGGTCAGTGGTGTCTGCTGCAATGCCCTCTTGCAGCATTTTCATTCTCCCCTCTTTCGCGCTGATCTTATTGACAGGAATCCAGGGTTTTGCACGTCTCTGTGCTGGAGACGTCTTTGAGATAAGCGTCAAGCATGGAGACCAGAAGTGGAAGTCACGAGGCCGAGTCCAGAAGAATGGTCAGCAGGTTTGGGACAACCAGCAAGTCATCATGAAGGCCCTGCTGGGTGAATTCCTCTTCATCAAGGTGCCTTAGCCTTTTCATCTTTATAGTGCTGTATAATTCTTTTATTGGAGTAAAGGAAAAGCCTGTGTCGTGACTTGTGGTTGTTTGTATACGGGTTATGTATAAATAGTATTGGAAAAAGCTTCAGAAAAGTATATTTATTGCTTCAAAAGACTTTGATTAAAGTGGATCCCTTGAGCGCTGACACTCTTATGCCATTGGCTTTTTTATTTTTGAAGGCTCCTGGTTTCTTGGTACTTACTTGCTCATCATTTCTGGGTACTTGTGAATCACATCATTTCTGGGTACTTATAAATTTCATCATTTAACTGACTTGGGATGACATAAAATTGTGTACTAGGCCTGGTCCATGTGTTGTGTTTATGCCAGCTGACAATAAAGTTAAGATCAGGTTGAATTATTGTATTTGTTTAATTAGTCATCAAATAAGGAAAGTTGTTGAAGTCACTGTTGGGACAAGAAGACTTACCTTGGCAGGTACTCATGCCAAAACAGTGGATCTGTTGACAGTCCCTCTTAAACAGTTTCTCGCAATTTCATTTTCACCTGAACGTCTGTCTCGTATGGATTTCACTTTTTTTTATATAATGTACAAGATTTACTTGTAGGCTGACACGTATCGATGGTTCATTTACCTGTTAATAGCCAGGTAATACCTGTAGTTTCATTATTTATTCTCAGTAAAACACCCCTCTGCATCCAAATTTCAGGGGGAGGGGGCCAGCCCCCTATGGCTTATCCTTCGCTATGGGCCTGAGTCTTGCCATGAATTTAAAGCAGCTCAACGCCTGTCCCATGTGTTCTTCTCTTTGTCCTGTTTTCCATGTGCCAAGTCTTGCTTCACATGAATAACTGCAAATATCTTGATTCTTCAATTCATGCTTTGTTTGATCACCACTTTCATTCACCACTCTTGGCAATGCAGGCAGTCGAAGTCCGTGGCCTTGGAAAGAACATGCTTTTGGGCAACAAGTCCTGCGAGATCAAAGAACTGTTCAGCTCTCATTCACAGCTGATGACCATAAACCTCAACTCAAGCGGATCGCTCAAGCTTAATCTGGTCATCACGTGGAAGTGAGTGCGCATCAGAGCCACATTTCTGATTACCTGCGCAGGCAATAATTGCACTTCTAAAATTTTTGCTTTTATAAGGACTGCTTAAAAGAGGAAAAAAAAAGAGATTGCCCTTTTCAGAGTATGAAAATTATTACTCATGCGGTGAGCAGAAACGTGCGAAGCCAGAAAACAGCCAGGTCCTTGACCACGCCAACTTGCTTTGATGTCACAGATTTTGATGGCATCTGCTAAATCCAACAAACACAATTCTTCATTGGAAAAAAGTACACTAAAACCTCATTATAACAATGTTGCATCTTACATGGAAATAAGTTTGTCACATCTGAAAGTTTGTTATAAAGGTATATGCCTAGCACTGTCTAATACAAGTGCACTCTTTACTTCATTATAATTATTACTTTGTTTTATCTAGATTTGTTATACCGTGGTTTGAGTGTACTATGTTGTATTTGAAGGGTGCTGTAAACATAATGCAGCAAGTTTCAGTGAATTTTATTGCACTGATGTGGTGAAATTATTTTAAAAAGACTAACACTGCCTTGCAACAATCACATTTAAGTATGCTCAGATTCTAACATTCAAGCATGAAGCTTTGTTGTTAATTTTATCTTCTATCAATGAACTTATGATGGTGAAATGAACAGTAGAATTTTCAAAAATTTGGAGGGGGCTTTGCATGGTTTAGTGATGATGGGCTCTTGGGGAGGTCCGTGAGTGCAGTACTGCGGCTTGTTCTTACAAGCTGCCCTGGTGAGTTCAGCGTTGCATGTTGGCATTCCTGGCGTATTGTGTGTGTTACGTTGTGTATGTTGTGTTCTGCATGTGCATAGTGTTGTGTGTTTTATTTGCATTATATCTAGTGATTTGGCACGTTTACATGCAGCTGTTCCTTCTTCGGCTGGCGAGCTTTCTATTGTAAAAATTGTTACTAGCATGTACATTTGTTTTATGAGTGTGGCTTTTCAAACTTCACTGTTCGAACCCTCGGATTCCTGATCATGTGATGCTATGAATATCTTCGGCTGAATTTCCTTTCTCTTGTGGCCCACCTGGTAACGACAGCGCTATTTGCATGATGAACATCATATGTTTCTGTACTAGCTGATCCGTCTCAATACACTTTTGAACGTTCCCCCCCCCCCCCCCCGCTCGTGTGTTCCTAATTTGTCTTGCATTGTCATTCTACCTTTAGTCCTCTCCACGGCTGCATGGAAGATAATCTCTCTGGCAGCAAGCAGTCACCTCCAGTGCTGAGTGTGATGAGCTCTCCCTTCACAAGACGGCGTGGCACGTCACCGTTCAGGAATGACACCATCCTTGAAAGAACAGGGGTAAGCAGCACACCATGCGCAATACCTTTGCTGTGTAATCCTAGCATAAATGTCTGCTACTCACAAATGCACTGCTCCGCTACCTAACGGTAGCATATACAGCTACTTTAGCACCATGCGCTGCAGTGTGCTATAATTACACCGCCTCAACACTACCGCATGCCAGAATATTATGTACAGGAAGCCAGCGAATGAGTTTGACGAGAAAAAGAAGAGAAAGTGATTAAGGTAATAATACACGCTGATAATAACTTATTGCCCGTCTATCATACCCTCTGTTCAGGTTTCAGTGTGCTTTGATGCAGGCAAAGTGCATGAAAACTTCTTTACTTAGATTTAGATGCACATTTAAGGGTTCCTGAACCAGTGGGCTCATTTGAATGAAAGAAGAGGAATGTGCTTAAACCATGCGACAAAGACCTGCAACTTCACTCATACTTGGCAGATTCGAAATAGTTTTTATGGAAATAGATTCATGAGGCAATAAATGCTGATACTAAAGTCATTCAATGATTGCATAGGCAAATGTTTCGGGGCCACTTCAAGAAGCCTCAGGGTAGTCAAAATTAATCTAGAATCCCCCACCCCAGTGGGCCTCATAATTTGGTCATGGTCTTGGCACATAAAACCCCAGAATTTAAAGGCAGTGAGCTTTACTCATAATCTGCTGACCCGAAAGTTGCGGTTTTGATCCTAGCTGTGGCAGCTGTATTTAAATGAAAGCAAAATTCTAGAGGCCTGTGTACTGCACGCTGTCAGTGTATATTTTGAGAAAACCAGAAAGTGGAAATTTTCAGCGATCTCTACTACGGCATCCCTATAATCATGTCTTGGGCTTAAAACCCCAGATACTATTATTAACTTTTCTCGTAATTGCATACGTGCTGGTTTGTCTTCTTCTCAGAGCATGGTGCATGAACTGGAGACGGGGCAGCGTGACTGGCGGCCTCAGGTGACCGAGTGGGAGGGGCCTCGAAGAAGGATGACCCCACAAGGTAGCAGTCCCGGTGGCAGCCTAGGGTCAGCGGGAAGCATGTCTGCACCCAGCTCGACTCTGACCAGCCCGAATGAGGAATTTGCACGTGCAGCTGCTGGTCAAACTCTTCTCGTCAGCTCATACGTTCACAACAGGCCGCAGAGTCCTACGTTAAGGGCTGTGGAAACTACAACTTCTCAGAGGTCAGAAGCCGTTCCATATTTTTCTTTTTAAAGACAATGTCATCTATGGCCTGTTGCACCTCTATTCTGTAACAGTCTGCTGCTGCTGCCTGTAGCCTTGATAGTGAGCGTCTCACTGAGTGATGTGACTTTTAACTACTTAGTACTGTATTTGTGTACAATCAGCACTCATATCAGCACTAGCAAATTTTGGCTAGCGTTAGCTAATTCATGAATAGCATCTGCCATTGTTGGCTACAGATGCTAATATCGGTTATTAGCTATTCTACTGCCAACATTGTCTTCATTCAACATCAATCCAATAATTTAGTTGTTAACGGATTTCTTACAACAAACTTGTCTTTGGAAATAGCTTTACTTTTTCTAACTAAGGCTGTACTTTTGAATGAAAGCTTCATATGTTGAACACTTTGTCTGGTTTGGTATAGTCAGGGAATGATTTGGTAGACCCTCCTACCTCGAAATATGTCTTGTATGTTTATATGTATGTGCACGCATACACATGCAAAAATATACACAAATGAAAAGTCTGACTCCTCTTCCCTGAAAAGAATTTATGGCAATGTCCCTGTTGGTGACAGCAATTCAGTTGTAGTCCACTTGCTTGTAACGAATTTTCAGCATTTCCTGGCAAGAATTTTTGTGTAGGTGTGTCAGTGGTAAAGTGGAAAACAATTTGTTGTACTAGACAGTTTTGTTCCAACTGGCAAAACATATCCCAAATATTTGACTATCAGCATTGTTTTGTATTCCTTTTCATTGCAGAGTTCTGGGTACATAGTATTCATTTTGGAACTGCTGTAAACTTCTTCATGATGTTATAATAACACACAGGTATACAGAAAGAAAATGGTGAATGCTGCCTTATCAAAGGTATTTTGCTCCTGATTTAAGAGTCTCAAGCTACGTTTGGACAATAATTTACTCATGACATAGTTGCTTTGATTTATGAATTCATTTCAATGAAGGCAAAATGCGAAGCCATTGATCTTTCAAGTATTGAAACCATGTTATAGAATTCCTCTTGGGCAGAATTCAGGTTTAATTGCTATTAAAATCACCTGTGAATGAGTTGTTTGCTATTGATGCCAGCAATCTTGATGAAGATTCAAGGCTGGCCATCATACAGTCTGAGCAACACTCTCCAGATGGCACCTGAGCAGAAAATTGAGGCACCTGATAGTTAGCAGACGGGACACAAACTTTGCAACTGGTATTTTCTGCATGTTATGGGTGCTGCATTATCTAATAGAGGAATTCCGGTGGTTCTCATAATTATGAGTTCTACATCATTTGCAGATATAATGATAAAGGCAGTAAATTTTCTTGCCATTGGTGTAGAAAGTATGTTTTTAAGCTTTTAGCGATGCGTTGAGTTTTACGTCGGAGAGAAACTTCCAAAACTCTGCAATCAAATTATATTGCCAGCACTGTTGCATCTGACAAAAGATACCCTCGTATTAAATATCCATCGTAAGCAGATGGTTATGTGCTGATATTGCTGACAAAAATTTGAAATGCGGGACGGTGTAGGTGACTGATAATAAGTTATAATTGTGTTGTTCATGTATATATATTCATACGTGTATACACACTGCCTTAAGCTTATTTTGCTTTCTAACATCTCATAGTCATTGCATTTGGTCCGGCATTAGTCCTGCACATTATCATCTGTAAATCATGCAATGCTTAAAATGGTAAACTCTGCTATCAGCTGTCTTAAACACATTGAGTCAGTGGTTGGCTTCTTTCTCTTTCTTTTTACCCACCATAATGGTCTGGAAGTTGTGGTGCTCAACTGCTGACCTGAAGGTCACGCCAGCCGCATTTTCAATGGAGGCGAAAATGCTTGAAGCACAATTACTTAGATTTAGGTGTTCGAAATTTCTGAAGCCCTCCACTACGTCGTCTTTAACCATATCATGATTTTGGAACGTCAAAACCCAACAATTATATTGCTCTCTCCTTCTCGTTTTTCATTTTAGTGTGGCCTGTAGTTCAGTATATGAAGAGGCTTTTGCTAGTTTAAGAACATCTTAAGCCTCTTCATTTAACCACCTAGCCTCACAGACGCGTCTTCATGTTTGGCAAGCGCTCTTGCAGATTCCTGTATTAGGACTCTTATGATCATTTTTAACAGCCTGAAGTAGAATGTTCATGATTACTTCAATAATAGTTATGCATTTGCCTGGTTGAATTCTGCATCACCAGATAATGCGGCCTATCCAGTCGTTCAAGTTTATGGCTCTGGTGACCTGGTAAACTGTGAACACTGAGAAGACTGCGGACAAACTAAAGCTCTCTCTGCTGTGTGGCCTTGCATTTGTCGTTCAGGTGGTCAAGCATGGGTGGTGACAGTGGCTCGGACTGCTGCAGCAGCCTCGACTTGGCCGAATCGGGCGGAAATGTGTCTCCACCTTCAACAGGCGCAGTCACCGCTGCGCGAGGCTGTGCAGGGCCTGAGCGCCTGCCTCGAAGACATCCAGGGCCACTATCCTGAACTTCACTCGCTTGAGCAGAGCATTGCTGAGCTGGATCGCATGCTTCGGGTGAGGAACTGCACAGCCACCATGCTTCACTTCTGAAGTGTCCTGCTGCGAGGAGAGGGCCACAAAATAATGTGCAAGGAAGGGCATTGAAACGAACTCTGAATAAGATTGAGAACTGGAAAAGTTGGTAAGGTTTCATTGTGGATGCAAGCACAACAGAGCATCTGAGGACTAGGGAAAAGTAGACGCAACCCTAGCATTGACTGAAAGTCAGTCACTTTCTATTAATTTAACGAAGAGTGATCAGCACGAGCATTATTGAGCACACATGCTCTTACAAAGCGTAAAGAAAAAGCAACTCATGGCGATCACTTTTGGGTAAATTATGAGTGACTTGATTGAAAGTGACTGTCTTTTGCCCCTTAGTTGAGTTGTGTTCATGTTGTGTTCACTGCTCTTTAGGCCTGGTTCAGTTCACTCTGTTCTGCTTAAATTTTCCAAAAAACGAACACTTATCATCATTCGTTCCCAAAGGAATGCCGGCACATACTGCTTACAGTCGTGTGAAGGGCATACATCTCTTTCTCGGCAATTTTAACAAGGTGCAGGTCTCACTTGGGAAACGGACATTTGTTCAACTTTACTGACAAGTGGGGAACCCGCCTTTTTATAATGGATCTATTTATTAATTCATACATGCTGCACGCTTGGCTACTTATCCGGCTACCCGTCAGGCAAACTGAGCCTAAAAGCAGCCGGAGTTGCTTATGTTATTTCACCACAATTGTGGTTTGCCATTTTCAGTGGATTCATTGCATTAGAGATCGTAGCTGTTTGCTGCCACTAGCAACTAGGTGATTAGAATATTTCATCTACTTAGAATATGTTAGTTGTAATTCCTCATTCTTTATGTTCGTTGAATTTGCACCAAAAGGTTTCTTTAGGTATAACCAATACCAATTAGCTCAAACCAAGAATCTGTTAAAATTTCCTCTTACTGCTGTTTTAGCGATTGGGCCTCAAGGTTATGCCACCGTTCACTCACATTTAGGGTACATTGTCATCCTGATGGCGCAACATCAAGCGTGATGCCTCACAGGCTATGGTTTGGATCTCACGTGTTCACCAGAGACCAAGGCAGCATAAAAATGATGCTGCTAGGAGTTTTGTCATTTTTACTGACGTGGTTTCACTGTGTCATACAATCGCATACCTTGATTGTCTCTTTTGAAAATTAAGTACAATCCTCAATTCATCTCCTCACGCTTTTTTTTGTATTTTCATAGCTATGTCATGAGGCTGCAAGACAGATAATGTTAACATCATTTCCCATGTGCCATGAAGAAACTGAACTGTTTAAATGGAGCACTGTTGCTAATCACCTTATGTTTTTAGTCTGCATTTACATACACAGTAAGAGAACACCTTCACTTTGCTGGTGGCACCTTCATGTGCTGTTTAGCCCCTCAAAAGTGCTTGTGTTACAGCTAAAGTGTGAAGCCTTGTTTTACTAGGGTTGCCAACCTTGTTTTATATGCTCATGTTACTGCTCAAAATGCCACATTAGTGGTGTGTGCAATTAATTCTGTCTTGCTTACACGTTGAGGATGGAGTCAACAGCAATATATATGTTCTGTTTTCTCATATGGGATACTTTAGTCTTACGGGTGTTTTAGAATGAAACTGTCCCTAACATTTTGAAATTGTTTTGGACTAGCTTATAATACTAGACCTTCTGAGCACAGTATGCCTCGAATGTAATGATGTGCACAGAGATTCTTTTATCCTTGTAGATCATTACAACACCACTTGTTGGTTCAGTTGTTGCTGTATTTATCTTTGTGGGACTCTAGTTTGCTACGGAACGCAATTTACGAATTGTTGTAAACGTCTTTTGTGAAACAATGAGTAATCTTGCCGTCGAATATGTTTCCTTGATATTTTTAATGCTGAAATTCTGAGGCAGTTGTCAATGAAGAGAATTGCACAAATCTCTGTTGCTGTGGCTGCAATGCCAGTGGTATGCTCGCATATCACTGGTGTGGCCTGTAGTCAGTGCTGAAGTAAGACATGTTAACATGTCACCCGGAGCCTAACATGATAGCTTGCTGTTTTGTCATGTTTCAACGATATAGCACATGACACACATTCACTGCAGAACTTGCAGCACATGTTATATGACAAGTATAAGTTGTTTCCTGTTTGTTTACCCAGGAACCTGTCATACTGATTAATGCATGTCTTACACTTTTCTTCGATCTTTTTCTTTTGTCATGCTCGTCTCCTTCTTCAGTACATCTGTGTTTTCTTAGACAGATTCTTTTTTCTTTTCTGCTTGTTATTGTTTGCCTTTATATTTTCGTTATTGCTCTCATTCTCTGCCGCCTCTGTTTTCTCCTGTCACTTTTTGCAATAAACCGAGAGGACCACTGTTAAGGATCTCCCTTCATAACTTATTATGAACACCTGGTGTCCATTTTGGTGCCAGCCTACATTGTTCATGAGTTTTTCCTGAAGGTAAGAGAGTGTTTCTGATAGGCTTGCTGCATACGTGTGCTGTGCAATCTTTACCGGCATGTAGCGTTATAACGTATATGCATATCACTAACATAAAACACCATTTTATTTGGGGAGGTGGGGGTGTAAATTTAGGAAAGGTGTGGTAGTTCAGGAGCTAAAACACTCCCAGCTGCAATTTACACATTTTAGGGCTTACAGTAAAAATACTGTCGTGAAATCTTGGTGCACGTTGAAGAATTGCGGGTATATGGGATTACACTGGAGCGCTGCAGTTTTTACGTGCCTAGCTATATCTTGGCATTATCTTTGAAATTGGATACTATAAAAACAGTGTGACATTTAGTCTTTTCAAGTATGCAAGAGGCTGCTTTAATTTTATTGTGAACATAATGTTTCAAATTTTTTTGGCACTTGGAACTTGTCTTAAACACAGCGACCTAAAGGCACTCGTAGGCAAAATTAGATGCGCTCTTTGGCCATCAAATGGCCCTTGCGCCAAAAAACGCCATGTATCATCATCAGTTAATTCTTCCAATTTCTCTGCAAAGCATGAGCAGAATGCATGCTAATCTTTTATTTTTTCTTGTCCCGTCTTTCTCTTACATTTTCCTCATTTCTTTACTGGTGCTGTGAGTTTCTTACTAATGATGAAGTAGTCATGCTGTCTGGTTCTTCAACTTAACACAATAGATTCTTCCACAATTAAGTAACAGTGATGTGGGTTCCTGGCTTTCAGAAACGAAGCCATCACCGACGTGGATCCACGGGCTCAAACGTGAGCATCTCTGTCGAGAGTGCACTTGGCTGCTTCGACTTTCTCGACAGCGAAGAAACAGAGTCTTCCGAGAGCAGGTGTGTTTTAACTGTGTTGGTACAGTGTAGATCAATAAAAGCAGGTCAGTCTCTGTGCGTCAGATGCGAGAAGCTTATGCACGATTGCCCGGCACAGACAGAGCGCATGCTCTGTGCGCATTCTGTCACTCTAGTAGTTGTCTCAATGTGCGCGAAGGCACGTATGTTAATGGCTTTCTTGTTGCATTAAACTGCCGAAGTCGTGCACGAAAATTGCCAAGAATTAATCGTTGGCTTTACACAGGAGCAGAAGCACAAGTTCATGACAAGCCAAGCTTGTTCTTTCTTGAACATTGTTTGCAACACCTTCATAAGAATCTTTGTTGGCTTTGCTAACAGATTGTGTTAAACGTGTATTCTGAGCTGATTAATGGAGCCTGCCTATTGAAAGAGGGGCAAAAGCTGATTTAACTTAGAAGAGCTTGTGTCCTGTATCTGCACATCATTCTGTAATCTGCATTCTAATCAATTTAATTATGTGCCAGTATGTACCATACAACCTGAACCAGCAGAGGCCACTCGTGAATGTTTTCGTCAAGTTTCATCACAAGTCACTGATCACATTTTTTTTTTTTCATTTCACAGTCCTGTCAGGCATAGTCCTTACAAGAGCCGGGAGACCAAGAATGGTGGGACGGCCGACTCCGGTGTTGCACTGCTCAAGGATCGCAAGAGCCCCATCAGCGGCGCATCCACGCCGAGCCCAGTCACTGTCTCTACCGGCTCGGATCAGCTGGACTGCGTCATCGCTGTGCACTGTCGTTACTGCATTCGTCTAGTTGAGGTTGGTACTTACATTTTCATTTATTGCTTTCTGAAGTTTCCTTCTGAATGAACATATAAGCCCCTTGTGAAAATGTGTAATTGGAAATTCAACTGGTTTCAATTGGTATTAAATTGGATCAACTGGTCCCTGTTTGGAACTAATTGGTCCCAGTTGATTGCATTTGCAACTGGTTCTAGGCAGCAGCTGATACGAGTTACAACTCAACTGGTCCCAGTTGATTCCAGCTGTAACTGGTTCCATTTTATTTTGTGATGGCAGTCTGCACTAACAGTGAAATGACTGCAAAAAAAAAACATCGATATAATGTAGCTGATCGGGCTAGCTGGTTATTCATACTGAAGCTAAACAGAATAAAAAAAATTGAAGAATTCATGAAATAGTTTGTCAGGTACTTAAATTAATGCAGAGTACCCTAGTATGGTAGGCCTCATAATTACATTGTGGTTTTGGCAGGCAAGGCCACGATATACTGCATAAACTGATGTGTTTTCGACTCCAGTTTGCAGAGCTTGGGCACCTTTGGACCACTCCGGTGTCGAGAGAGGACCTCTATAGAAAAACTGCAGCACCAGTCTAGGCTTCTGTACAAGTTGTTGCGTGTGGCCAACAGATTTGCTGAAGATAGGAGGCAACTCTATGGTATGTGTCTGTCTAGGCATATTTGTTTTTATAATTTAATCAGTAGCTGCAGACTGTGCATGCAGATTATTCACTTACCTTGCTATGGATACTAGAGATTTGCGAGCTTACCTCTTTCCTCTGTAAGCAAACCTAGCCTAGATATGCCCTAGTTTTTTTCAATTTTTTTTAATGTGACAATTTCTATAATTCCGGAGATTTTGTGTAATCTTACTTTTTTCTTGTACAGCCTCAACTGACTTTTACCCTCTCTTAGTACCCATTCTGGCGACTTCATTACAACCAGGGGCAGGTTCCAGCCACTCGTTTTAGGGCGGTGGTTGCCTGAAATAACTGAGGAGAGGGTGGCATGATCATAAGTTTTTATTTATTTTACTAGGAGAAAAACCCATAACATAAATACTGTTAAGTTCTCACAGTGGTTTCACTCATTTGCTCTAATTGGTCATAGGAGGTAGACTACAAGCCCTGAAGTGAGGGGTGGGCGGGGCAGGGGGATGCTGGCATAGACTTTCGGGGGGGGGGGGGGGGGCAGGGGTGATCGCCCCTACCGCCCCCCCTTCTGGATTTGCCACTTATTACAACAATGATAATCTGTGCTTGCCAAATCGCAACTTTGCTTTTGTGCTCAGGACATCAACTGTTTGCTTGTAACTGCAATTGCCACTTCGAGATGAAAATAAATTACCTGTAATCTCTGGGAACACGTGTAAAAATACAAGGATTGCACAATGCAGACTAGAATTCAATTGATGCGCATCTTTTCATGAAGTCCTATGAACTGAACTATGAACTATTGGGGCATCAAGGAGAGGGTGGTTCTAGGGGCTACAAACCCCCTGCCACCCTGGTGAGGCTGAATTGGAATCTCTTCTCTCTGCCCTCCAGGCATTCACACGTAAAATTCAATGTATACTTTTCAGCATTCTGTTGATGTCATTGTAATCCAAGCGGTGGCTTAAGGTAAAACCTTCCTGATTGACTTAGCAATATGTTGTATTCATCCTTAAACTCGGTGAGCGCAAACCGTGTCCTCAGTGGTTCAGGGTTCAGTTGCATTGAAGCAGCGGCCAAAGCGGGAAAAATAAGCATGAGCTTATAGTTGGTGGGTAACTGCTTGAAATACATAGTGCAGCATTACAAATGAGAATAGAGGAGGGCCTAGTGGCACTCTTTCTGGTTTGTTCACATATGGTTTGTTCGAATTGCTGTATATATTTTCTACGTACGTTGCTTTGCCGAAGGGCTTATTGTCAAAGCGCTGAACAAATAAACATCATCCTTGATGTTTTCATTATCTGGGATTCGGTTTGCTGTTGAATTAGTCTAGCTGAAGCAGTGAAATGTCATATGTGAAATGCCTGCTCTCTGCCCTTCCCAGTCTCCCCATCTCGTGAAAATTTTAACAGGAATTATAATACAAATCCTGGGTGTTCTGTTCTCATAAATATTGTGTAGGTATGTAAATTCTCTGCACCATCTATCCTACAGGAAAAGTACTAATACTTAGTTAGGCTCTTTGTATTGGTAATATTCATATCGTTTGTGTTTTATTCAGCCCCCCCGCGGTGGTCTAGTGGCTAAGGTACTCGGCTGCTGACTTGCAGGTCGCGGGATTGAATCCCGGCTGCGGCGGCTGCATTTACGATGGAGGCGGAAATGTTGTAAGCTTGTGTGCTCAGATTTGGGTGCACGTTTAAAGAACCTCTTGTGATCGAAATTTCCGGAGCCCTCCACTACGGCGTCTCTCATAATCATATGATAGTTTTGGAACGTTAAACCCCACATATCAATCAAATCAATTGTTTTATTCACACTCAGACATTGACATGACAAACACGTATATAACAAATTATTGGTTGTAACGAAGTAAATGAAAAGTAGTCTTGCAGTTCATACAGTGCTAGGTATACCCTTAACGAATTTTTGAATACAGTTGAACCCCTTTACAAGAGGCATGCTCGTGGCAGCAATTCTTGTCTTTAATATGAGATCTATTTTATAAGCAGGGTACCTCATATGCATTTTTCTATAAACCTGTATTTCACCGTAGGCAAACTGTTGTCTCTTATACCCATTCATCTCTTCTATCAGTATCTCTCATAAAGGGGTTTAGCTGTATAATGAACTCGTTTTTGTATAAGATACAACTTTGTTTAATGAGGTTTGAGTGTAATGTGATTAAGTGTAATGTGTGTAAACAATGGGATTAACAGAGCCATCATCTTCCTTCCCAGGGTCTCAACTTGTCGAGGAAGATGACATAGGTCACTTGTGGTGTCAGATGGGCACCAATGATGGCCTCGTGACAACCTTGACAAGGCTGCGTGAGCCACTGGCCCGACTTGTCCGCTCCCGCCTGAATAATGGGGCCGTTTCTGAAAGAGGCAAGCACTGCCTTCGTTTCTTTATGCATACATTCAGTGTATTTGGTAATTTCTTGAGATTAAGCGTGTTAGTGAGTTGGCTGCTACATGACTTCGAAACAAGCAGCACTGAAAAGTGGACTAAACAGAAATGAGCATAGGCTGATATGTGGACTGCCAACTGAAAGGCTGCAATATTTATGCAAGGTGGATTTGCACATCTGGCTTAATTGTTTGGTTGCATGTGCATAAAGCCATTTTATGTAAATAAAAATTCTGGGACCCCTAAGCTTCTTCTTTAAGAGTTGAACATGACAGCGACGACGTTCGCACGAATGCACACAGTTACACATTCAAGTGCTATTGCCTTCTGAATGGCTAGCCTGCTTTCTTTTCTTGACGGAGATCTAGACTATGCTGCAAGAAAAACCAAAGTGCTAACACCCTCCAGCTCCTATCTTTATTTGCACATCTGCCTTGAAGTATCGCTCGCATCGCTAAAGCTACTTTTTTGCTCCCAACCAAACACATCGACACAGAGACTAATTTATACCAAATGACCTTTTTAATGCTCTCGCATTAAAACCTTTCAGGTTTTTTTTATTTGTCAGGCCTGTTTTTAGCATTTTTTATTTTCTCGCTACTTATTGCCTCAGTGCACGTTTTTTAAATCTTGAGATTTTCCTGGCTTCAAATATATTGTCACTTCCTTTAATGTCTTGACTTCCTTTAATTAGTTATGAATATTTATTTATTCATATTACATAACAGTCACAAAGCAGGGATTCAGTAAGGGTAGCTTTCAAATATGTTACACAGTTTAATGAATATTTATTTATTCATATTACATAACAGTCACAAAGAAGGGATTCAGTAAGGGTAGCTTTCAAATATGTTACACAGTTTAGACAACTTACAGTTATACAAATGAGAATTGTTAATAATTATGCAGTCAACAAACTTGCGTAGATAATCACTATATTACAAAAATAACTCAAAAATTTGAAAATGAATTCTACGCTTTCATATGGTTACAGAAATCATAAGAAATGACAGCATTCATGACATCATCTTAAAACATCTCTACGACCCCCAACCCTCCGCCATATATTGTCTACCCAACGCAAAATGTTCTGATTCCAAAAATGACCTTGGTCGTGACACCCACAGCTTAGACCATTCGTTTGAAACTGAAATGCTTCTAAAGGCCACACTAGCATGCTAGATTGTACACTCGGACCTCATTATAACAAAATTGCATCTTGCACAAAAATAAGTTCATTATATCCGAAAATTTGTGATAAAGGTATATTCCTAACACTGTCTATTGCAAGACTATCCTTCATTTACTGCATCATAACTGACACTTCATTATAACCGAGTTTGTTACATTGAGGTTTGAGTGTATATGCATGTCGCAGTATCATCAGGTTAGCCTCCTTTAATGTTCTGTGCGATATGCCGTATCATAGCCATAATGTTAATGTTTTTCTCTGTGTGTAAGCTTGCGTGTGTGCATTTGGGAGCATGCACATTCCAAATGTGCATCCTTCGTGTGTGCAAAGCAGTGACTTGTACACTCTCGTTCCAGTGGTGATTGTGGTGCTACAGAAAATGCTGGATGTCGCGAGGCTGGAGCCTGACATGCTGGTGACAGTGCTGCAGTTCCAGACATACTTTGCTCAGCTGGGCAGCACTCTTTTCATGGATCACGTGGAGCAGCTGGAAGCTGAGCGTAAGTGCACGCGATTCTACGCACCACTGCACGAGTGAAACATGTGAGACTTGCGTTAAGTTGAAGATTTGCATAAATTAGTCATATATTCAGTCATGAGACAAAAACAGTACTGAGAAGGACAGCTTTAATGTCAGCAGTGAACAAAAATCTGCAATCGCAATCACAAAAGCAGGCAAACATGAATTTGAATTCGAAACATGACTACAAGGACAGCAGTGTAATCATTTATGGAATGTATTTACGGAATGCATTTATGGAATGTCAATATATTGTCGACAGTGTTTCATTTCTTGCTTGTCGTAAATTGTGCTGGTGCTCATATTGATTTACTAAACACCCTTGCATATGCTTTCTTGTCACTGTTTTGTTATTAGGTTTTATCGAATCTAGAAAAAAATCAAATTTCATACATTTAACTTATCATGAGCTTTGGTAACTATGCTAAATATTCATGTTAGAGCAAGAGCAAAAAATGGACTAGGAAATAATAGCAGCACCACCTAATTTGCACAAACAATGATGCTATCTTGTTGAATTATGTTTCGTTACTGCTTTCAGTGCACACCAAATATTGCTTCTAATCAAGGCACTACTGCTGCAGTGACTGTGCTTTTTGTGTCAGTGCGTTCCTCGACTGTTCCGACGTTGCAGTGAAGGTCCTTGACTCGCTGTCCTCGCGCGAGCTGCCCATTGTTAAGAGGACACTGTCTGCACTGAAGAATGTAGTGCCCACCAAGGAGCTGGTGTTTGCCATTTCTCAAATTCTGGTCTGCGGAGATCGACAGCTCTCCAATCTAGCAGGTGAGCCTCCGTTATTTCTACATGATGCGGCTTCTGAAGCGGCTTTACTTTAGCAGTTTCCTGCACATGTAAGCTTTAGTTTATTTGTCCAAAGGTTATTCACAGCTACTTTTGCGTTGTCGAGGCTCAACATTTCCTCCTTTTGTCTTTGCCACCTCAACAGTTGCACATCGCACTCCCTCTGCCTGCCTTAATTTAATTATAAGCCCTAAAATAAAATTATTTACCCAACCAGATATTCTAGATTTTAAAAAAGAACTGGTTATCAATTCCATCAGTTTACAGTTCAATCTGATAGAGTAGCCCTTGGAAAATACTATGAATGTTGAAAAAGGTATAGCTCATCACTGTGAGCTATGAATAATACACCTACATAATTAATTTCATATGTACAGTTAAACCTCAACATGTTAGTTAGGTCAGTAAAATCAGCACTGTACTTCATCATGTGTAAATTTATATATTGTTGAAATTTAATCTTTATTGTAAAGTGTGCTTGCTGGTAAGTCAGGCTGAAGAAAGAAAATGCCTTAAAAATTTTTAAGGTGAAGTAAGCTGTTCTTAGCTTGCTGCTCCTTATGTGCCAAGGGTGAACAAAAGTGCACATACCAGTCATGATAGCTTAGCGATTGCGGTGATGAGTTGTCAAGCTTAAGGACATGGGCTGGAGTCCCAATTGTAGAGACAGTTCAACAAAAGCAAAATGCAACAACATTAACATATATTTGATGCGCGTTACAAGAACCTCAGGCGGCCACAACCGCACCATTCTTCTAGCTTATAAAGTCCCAGGATTCAATTTTAGTTCTAATGCATACTGCTTCCTTTTGCACTGTTCTTATTGTGCCACCAATGTTTGTCCGTGGGTATTGTCACAAGTTTTAAAGTTCACAAGCTGGCAGATATGTACATGATTGTTTAAAAAAAACATGGTGTCAACTGTCTCCTTTTGTCAGACTTGGGAAATCTTCTTTCCTTGGGAGAATGTATGATACGTATCGTTTCATATTACCACGTTCCATTTCTCAAGTTTTTTTATCGCCCCAAAACACTACACAATTCTCAGCGCAAACCGCGCCTGCAGTTTTCGAGAAGCTTTCGTACTTTAGTAGATCATTTCGATAAGATGACGCCCACTCCATGAACTGTACAGATTATTCTGGAACCTACGTCACCACCAGCAATAACGCTAGAACATTCGATGGCAAGAGTATAAATGCCGACGCACTTCGCCGCTTGTCAGTTGTCGATCGACGGCTGACGCTCCATTCGCCGCTATCAGTCCAAGACTGCTACTGTAATCGGACTTTCTGTTTACCGGGCACATGTTCGCCTAAATAAACAGTAAAAGTCCAACACAAAGTATCCTGTTTAAGGCCACGTCACAACCCCGTGACAATATGTATCATACGTATCATTTTATATCGTTCTGTTCATGTATGTACGAAAAATTCTCCTTATGTCTGGCTGTGTATCCTTGTACGTAGTGCTTGGTTGTGGTTTGTACCACCGCTGGCAGACTTCGCATGTATGGTGTCGTAAAATTTTATCAACCTATAAACTATTTCTTCGTGTATGCCTACGTGTGTTTTAATTTTATTTGTTTCCGTTTTTGTTTTATTGTTTACTGATGCATCTTTTTCCTATTTTTTAAGTGGCTTTCATTATTTATCATGTAATGTGTCTTGCAAAGCACTACTTTTGACCCACCCTGTAATGGCCGACAGGCCAACAGTATGAGTAAATAAAAAATAAGTGATATTGCTGTTTTCTTACAGAACAATACCTTAAGGCAGCAGCAAAAGTCACTTCCAAAGCTCAGGTAATCATTACTTCTACCAATGTCGGGCATGTTATTTCTGGATTCCTGCAAGCGTGTGCATCTCTTTGCAGATCTGTGCGCTGCTGGTCGAAGGATTGGAGGCTGACGCTGCACTCACAAGGCAGGGATGCTGCAGGGCCCTGTCTTTTCTACAAGTAAGCAGTTTAGAAAAATCAACCACAGAGCTCTGACATTGCCAAAATTGGCGAAGCTTGCACCATGTCTTGAATTGAAGCAGTGAAACTGGATGGTTTGGAAGCCTAATCTGGATGCTTCTGGGTTTTTTTTTTTTTTTTCTATGCCTTAGCTAGGTGATGGAGGTTGTTTATAAGTCATTGCTAGGCTTTAGCTAGGAAATGATGATAGGTTCTGCCCTCATTGATTCTCAGTGCAGAGCGGTCCGAGATAAACTACAGACGGTCACGGACACAAGGTTGTTAGTGAAGGCCTTCCATTGCTTCGTATTCTTCTCACAGCCGCTCTTGTCTTTCCTGTTTCGTAGTATTTTCTCGTACGTACTCCAGGTGTTTGGCTCAACCCTGTCGCTTTGCAGTCATTTGTTGGTCTAACTGTTGCCTTCTTTCTTTTTTTTTAGTGGAGATTGTGTGCAGTGGGATGTATCCAATTTCTTTTTGTGAATGCTCGTTTATGGTGACGATAGTTCTCTGATGGGGTGCACAAATTTCTGTTGCGCTTAGCCCATTTGTTGGGCGAGTAGTAGGATTTACTCGATTTTGTGGCGTGTACCTGGTAATTATCTGGTCCAATGGGATCAAAGACCAATTTTATAAATGGCTTCACTGTTGACATTCTTGCGTGACGATTATAGCTAAGGAGTCCACATGGGACTCAGCCAAAAGATATAATTTTCACTACTCATCAGTTGAGCTCCATGATGATGGCTTATTATGATGTGACCGAAAAAAAAAAAACAGCAGAGGAAAGATAAATGTTCACCCGCATAGTTTTCTCGCCCTACTGGCAAGCTGGTTTCTCTGCTAAAGACGAGTATAGCGCTGGTAATTCCTCGAGTCGCCACCCGACTGACAAATCGGAATCTGGCACATTGATAAAAGATGCAGGCACGAAATACAAAGCGGTGGTAATGGTAATGTAGCATGCGAGATTAACCTTGCATACATACATAGTTTGCAGTTTTCACAACCGAGTCTCTTGTGTGTTGATATTAGGGGTGTGTGGTCAGCTGTTTATCATCAGCTGTTTGTCACAAACCCTTGGTGGAATGACATCTTTGTACCATCTTTGCACGACATCTTGTGGGTGCAAGGGCTCGGTTTTGCTGGCTGTGGATCATTGCTGTTCTACTTTCTGCATAAAAGTGGGAGTAGTGAGATAGTAAAATGTCTACGTCGCCGATGCCGCCACGAAAGGCTCAAAGTAGGAGAATAAATTGTCCAGACTCAACTAACCAAGCCTGAGTGAATGCTTTTTCGCGAGTGTCCTTGAATTGTGCTAGCTTTTAAATTGAAAACATAGCAATTAGTGTTAGCTGGATTCTAGTGCGATTGCTGTTACATTTTTCTATCCAAGATACATGTACCTGCTGCACTACTTCAGAAGTAACTAAAGTGAAAGGCTTAAAAATCTGTGGGTTTCTTTTTAGGCTCAGGAGTACATGGAGGAATTGGTGCACCTCTCTTATGCAGACGAAGTGGCCAAAGTGCGTCAACAAGCCAAAGAAGCTCTTTTCTCGTTTGGTAGGTAACAACTACTGTGGTGTTCGTGTTCTGCTCATTGTCATGTGGTGCCTCATGGGGCAGCGATGTGTATCGTGTGTATATATGTGTAAATAAAGAGTTGGTGACGAGCACTCGGACGAGGCGGACGTTCTCTTTGGCACTGTGCGCCCCGTCGTGTTGTGGCTTTCGGCGTGCCTGCCGCCAGCATTGGTGGGCTTTAACTTAATGCTTCTTGTTCGTCAGTGCAGGGAATTCCAAGACATAACACAATTACACCATACCATCTTTTCCTACAGAAATTGTTTCTTGAGCCTGAAGTTATTTATTACAGTTTTTGTCTCATATTTTCGAGGTCAGAGGAATTATTTACATTTAAGGGTACAAAACATTATACACGGGAAAATAAACAAATTGCAGTGATAAAATAGGCACAATGCTATATTGTAAGCTACAAAATCTTCTCTCTGCGCATAAATAAGGAGAACCCAATGTAAGCTTCTACAATTTCTTTTCTATATAGCTATTATCATAAAAATATACAGTGGACTTTCAGTGAACGGAAAGCTGTTAAACATAACTGCTGCTTAAATGGAACTGCCTCTGATTTAATTGGTTTCATACTAGAATGCTGCGAGCTCACCTCTCAATAAAAGGAACTCCTGCTAAAGAAACCACATTTTCCCGGTCTTTTCAGGTTCCGTTCAATGGGTCGACTGTATGTTAGAATCCGCAGCACTTAAAGACCCGGACACATGAGGCGAGAACAAGGACGTGTACGTTTATAAAAAACAAAGAATTGCAATTAAATTTCAGTTTATACGTTTTGCTAAAGTTTTATAGAAAAGGCCATTACATTTCGAATGTTTACATTAGGAGTTCTCAATCATGCTGATGCCAAAGAACTCCTCCTTTCGGCGAGCTTTTTCATTTTTGTTTTCAATAAAAAAAAGCACTGAGATATGCTTCCTGACGCTTGGGCATCAGTAATGGTGGTTCCTTGGATCGATCACATCTCGGGATGGCCACCTAAGTGAGTTGAGTGGACGAGTGTGGAATCGGGGGAAAATGTATCTGTGGTGTGCAAAAGCCTGAGGTCGGACCACTTTGAGAACGCCTGGTTCACAGAATGAGTGGGAATGTTATTTTAATCTGTAAATGTGTGTGAAAAAAAGACTGGAGAAAGACCTGTTTAAAGTAGTTCCTCTCTTTATTACCTTTTTCTCCCGTTATTGTTCTTTGTTTGTGGTTGGCAATACAACTGTTTTAGTCCTTGAAAACTCATACTCTTTATCTCTGCTCTTCCGGTTCCCACTCATCAATTGATGAATCTTATTTGTTATTGCTTCCTTACGAACTTATGTTCGTATTTTATCTCTATAGTTGTTTCTTAATTTCTCAACTGTTTCATTTTTTTACAAAGGTGCACATGTTAAGTTTATTATGTGTACTGCGTTATGTATTTCAAGAGCAATTCAAAAGGGAACACAGACTTGTTGTTTAAGCAATGATTACCCATGATATTTTATATGAATATGTGGTTTTTGCAAGAGGCATGCATTTACTCGTGTGTAATAGAAGCTGCTTTCCAGATTTCTGTACCTAATGTCGACCCTTGCGTTACAATAGAACACCAAATTGCTATTTTTTCTTCCTGCACACAATGGAAAGTCAGCCCTTGCATTACAATTGCGGTCGCATTACAATCAAATAAATGCGGTGCTTTGCAACTTCAACATGTAGTGTTATAAATGCTTTTAAGCTTCATGACAGCACATGGCCACTATGGCCCCTTGACAGTATTGGGTTGCGTTTCCTTTCATATTGTACACGGCTGTACCGCTGTCCTTGTGCAATGCCTATAAAGATGCAGGCTTTAAATGTTGTGTCGTTCTACACTCGTTTCAGGAGAAGACGGGCGGAGGGAGTTCCAGCAGTCCCAGTTGGTTGCACACGGTTTCCAGGGTCTGACCGTCAAGTAGCGCTCTGTCAGCAGTTGTCTAGACCTCCACGAACAAATGTGTGCTTGAAGAGCGTCTATATTTTGGCACCCCTCTTCCTTCTACCAAACACTTATGCATGCTCTCTAGTGATTCCAGCCTCCGGTACTTAAGACCAAGCAAGCTACGATCGAGCTTTTGTTTTTGAGTTCCTGTTTATTTGCTGTTGCTGCTGCTGTTGTAAATAACATGAAGATATTCAGTGAGAGTTGTTTTATTTCAGGTATTTTAAATTTTCTTTTTTGCAGTCTTTAAGCTGATCACACTTTTTTCATCTGATGTTTATTTACAAACCTTTTTCTTTTCGAGGCATTTTCAATTCTTTCTCATCAAGCAGTGCAGCTGCGCTGTACAGCCATGTCTGTTTTTTTGTTTTTAAGCTTGTCTTATTTTTAATAATTTCGGTGAGGAAAGGTTAAGAGGAAGCTTTCACGCAGGATCAACTATGATTTTGCAGAACACAGAAATGCTAAGATAAGGCAGCTGGTAATTTGAGCACAATTATTCTCAGTTAAAAAGTACTGCTTATTTCTGCAAAATATATTCAATTTATGAATCTATGATATGAAGGTGCAATTTACTAAATTGTGACATCTTTCGCGACAGAACGGAGTTGCAAGCGTGATGCCTTAGTTAAATATTCTCATTTTTCATTGCCTTTCTTTGCAAAGAAAGAGTTGATGGTCTGAATCATCTGCATCCTGCTGTTACTAGATTTTGATCATTTCTTTTGTATGATGACCTCGAAAATTTCTGATCCATTGTTGAGCATGAGACGTGAAGCTTCCTCTTAATATACTGTGCTTATTGTCAGGTGTGCCTGCATTTCTCCGTGCATATCACTTGAGCGAAGCTACACGAGAGTTGAAGGCATGTCCATATTGATGACGCATGTTTGCAGGCTTGCCAGCGTGCCATGTTACAAGTGGGAATCGACAGTGCAATGGCTATCCTGTTCCAATGACTGATTGAAGCACTTCAAGTAGTACTTTCTCTAGTCTAGTCAGCAAAGTTGGTTGTTTGTTATCATTCCAGAGAGATGAAGAAAAGTGAGCGAAATGTTTCTTTATTGGCGTCGAGGGATGCTCCAACCCACTTCCCTTTTTTTTCCCTGTTGTCACCAAGATGAAGCGTCTGCCAAATCCCCGAGACTTGAGTGCTGATTTTTAATAAACAAGTTATTGCATGGCCGCGTTGTGTGTCTCATTCTACTGCATTAGCAGTAAAGACCAATGGCTTTGAAAAAAAAAATACATCTTTATTCTATGTATAGCCATCAATTTGTGCAGCTGCAAATAGACGCAAGGTGGAAATGACATTTTCAAATAAAAATATTCTGACTGCAGGGCTTTTAACTCTGACTATCTAGCACTAAAACTAGGGCATTGTCAGAATTTATTTTGCGTGGAGGGGGGGGACGGCAACCATTCATTGTGGTTGTGTTGGCGTGTGTATGTATGCACATACAAAATTGAACAATTTGGGGGAAGGGGGTTGAACCTCCTCGCCCCCCTGGCTGCGCTCTTGTCATACACATCCGAATGTATGGCGAATACTGGAATTCGAGTTGTATAAATCGTGCAACGATGCACAAAATTTTCATTTTTTCAGTTTTTTTCTTCCTGAAAAGTATCTCCTTGTGTTAATATCTAGTAAATACAGTAAGCCTGATGCTCGGAAATATTGCAGACATGTGCAAAAAGAAGTGTGTGTATGAGTAAGTAGGTCCAAATGCCAGTTGCATTTTGACATAACCGATGATTTGAAAACCATCTCGTTTCAGTGCGCTCATGGAGGTGAAAGGACTGCATGCTTTTGATTACTCTTGTAGACTATTTTCTGCAGCTGTCAACGGGCGCTGCCGCGTTTGAACATGTGAGCTAATGGCCTTCTTTCCACTTCACCGTCACCCGGCCGATTCGCCGCTCCCGAGTTGAAGGACAGCAGAGCAGGTGCAGCGGTTATAGGGTTAGGTGTTGACATGGCAGACAGCGTGGTGGGCGCTGGTGTTTCATATACTCTCACATCGTCGCCTGGCTGTGCACCGTGCTCGGCGAACTGCTAACGAGACATATTTTCTTGCTACACTCGCCCATGCCCACATAGTCCGCGCCGCCCGTTTCTCGTCAAAGGCTGCAGGGCAACGTCCGCCGCACACCACATCGCGGCCCCCCGCAAAGGAGAAGGCCGTTGTGCTTCGGTCTGGTGGCGCCATCTAGTTTTGCTTAGAAAAAGTAGTTGCAGAAAATCGCCTACGATTCGGAATTGCTCGACTTCACAGGTGCCTCATCCTCTAATACAATGTCTTTTTTGCATTTACCTCTGAATGAAGCTTTCTTCTGACACACACTAGCCAAAACTATGTGTATCATAATTTAACAAGTAGTGCACAGGATGAAGCTGCAACAGACACAAAACGAATTGTATTTATGCTGTATAAATAACATGTTATTACACATGTATACAGTAAACATGTATACATGCAACACCGATGAGAAAGGATGCAAACTGAAAGTTGCTTCACAATATATACTTTCGTAGGCATGGATCTTTACTTGCCCACTAATTTGCCAGAAACTCCAGTGTTTTTTTCACAGTGAAAGCCACTATGAGGTCGCAACAACAGTGCCGTAGTTGACTGCTGCCGCCGATTTCTGTAATCGCTATCACGCGAAGTAAAAAACGAAAGAACAAAATTTTCTGGATAGAATGGACTCGAACACACACTTTCTGCTTGGCAACCAAGTATTCTGCCAAAGAGCCGTGCTGGTGCTTGATACTGCTTACAAAAAGATTCATAAGCAAGGAATAACTCTAACGTGTGTGATGTAGCATAGTAAAAGAGCAAAATAATAAGGTGTCACTGAATGCAAATTTTGCAACAAGTGGGTCGTTTGATGCTTAAAGCCCGTTACAAAAGGCTCGGCCATAATTATTTGACATACGCCAAAGCAGCAACACTTGCAGGTGTGTAGTGTCTACCATGCTTCTCCATAGAATGATGAACAATCAAATTGGGGATGCTTCCCTACTTCACAAAAAATGATTTATGGAACAGCGGGTACTCCATAAGTCTGCTTCTATTAGTTGCAAAGGAATCTCATAAACGTGACAGGAGAATAATATCAGTGTCGCACTGCCACCTTTGATCACAATCAGGGCTGATCTGAAGTGGGTACTGATGTACAATCACATTTAATTGCGATCAGGCCCGATCAAGATTAAGGTGATTGCAATCTGGCTTCATGACGGTGATTTGGCCGAAGTCTGCACCAAACTCTTTCGGATTACGCTTTGCCACATAGCAGCTACAAACTTGATCAAGAAGCTCGATATAGATCGGTGCTCATCACGATCAAAAGTACTCTTGTGACTCCAGTATTAACGACTGAGTGTCGCGCAAGGCGAATTGCATAAATAGTGGTTCTTTTAAAGCTTCTGAAGTCCTGACCCATTACAAAGGCAGCCCTTTTGCGACCATTTTGTATTTTGATCAATGATCGAGCAAGGGCGGCCCCTCCACATCTAGTTGAATTATCCTTCGCTGAAGAGGGGTTTTTGCTCGGGGTTTGATAGTTGTCCCAAGGGAGTTTATACGCAAGGCACCAGAAAAACTCCCCATCCAGCTTCTGCTGTGAAAGTGCGTGTTTCGCATAGGCCTGGCATTTCTTCTCCCCAGCCATTTGATAAATTCACTCAAACTTCTGCACTTATGGACAAGTAAACAAACATCACATGTAAAAGATGTACTATGCACAAGTGGCAGAAGCGTTTGTCACACGTAATAGATATAAGTACTATATGCAAGTCACGTAAGTTGATTTAAGATTATTTTATACTTAAGTTGCAACATATGCATACCATGCAAATATCCCATGAAGGGCATTAGGCCTGCATGTATTCCGTGCCATGTGAGCAGAACAAGTTTCTGCGACCAGCAGCTATCCCGTGACTTCATGACCAAATTATAGAACATAACATACTGTAAGCAAGACAAAGGCGCACAAGTACATGTGATGGAATGTTTCAAGAGCGCGAGCAGTACTTGCTTGACAAAATTTAGGCAAAGCCTAGAGTTTTCCAGTGACATTTTATTTACAGGATGGTATCAATGGGACTGGTGGTTGCATTGTATCAATGTACACAATGATAGTAGCAGTCTTTGAGCCCTAAAATGAGTTTGCTCTGCAGCACTAATTCGGACGACCACGTCCTCCCCTTCCGCCCCTGCCACCTTGGCCACCGCCTCTTCGTCCGTCTCCGTCACCCCTGCCACCTCGGCCTCCAAAGGGACCACCTGGCAGAGAAAAGTAAACATGTTCCGTACACTAATTGATGGACAGAAAAACTTTGCTTTCCTCCTAAAATCTGTGTGAACATCTGCACTTTTCAATCATACCCAAACACATGTTAAGTCACTGTCATATGCAACCAGACAAAACACACAAAATAAAGACCTCAATAAACACCCATCTGGTTGGGATGAATCATTGAATAGTAATTTTTAAAAAAACAAAAAGGATTATGACTACAATGCCAAAGTCTTATTCATACATGGCACAGTCACTATGTTTGAAATGGTCCAGTATACTGCATGTGCCTGGTGTGTGTGAGACTTTTTCGATGGAGGTGAAAATGCTGTAGGCCGTGGGCTCAGATTTGGGCGCACAAAAACCTCAGGTGGTCGAAATTTCTGGAGCCCTCCACTACGACACCTCTCATAGTTGTATCGCAAGTCAGCTCACTGTCCACAGTACTCACCCCCGGCACAAGACAGGATTGGGTGGGCCTATTATTACATTTCGATTGCGGAGCACTGTATAAGAAGAATAACACTAGTTTTGGCAAATTCACCGACCTCTGCCGCCTCGGCCACCGCGACCTCCGGGTCCGCCACGCTTGCCGGCATCCCCACGTCCCCGACCCTTGATCAACGTTTCTTCCTTGACCATGTCAATAACTTCATCGGGAATGCGAAGGTACTTGATGGTGCTGCCCCGGATGTAGCACTCGGGCATGCGCCAGAACTTGTCACCGTCCTGCAAAAAATAATGTTCCACACAGAGAGCTGATCTTAACGATCCATGGGATATAATAAGCTACATAAAACCACATGCAGTTTTTTGGCACATGGTCGGTTACGGCCTAATAAATGATGAAAGCTTCACCTACTACAGCTTATCGTCATCCCACACAAGATTTTGCACAAATGCTCTGTTCAATGACGTTCACTCATTTTCGTGACCTCAATTGCTCATGTACATTTAAAGTAGTCGAATATCACCATATGGATACATATTTGTGTAACTAGTTTTAAACTTCAATGTCTGACAGTGTGAATGCACAGAAAACGACGACAGAAAAGTGGCTTGACATAAGGGGGCTGTGCCACCTCGTCCTCTGAACATTTGCCCTGTGTCATTTCACATTAACAAGCCCAGGCTGATACCTTATACTTCAGTAACATTTACTTTGAGATTTGCGTAGCACTTACGTTGGCATTGAGAAAGCACTTTAAATTAAAACGAGCTGGTACACTTCTCAAACAGAAGAGGCACACCGCTGTTGCATTTAACCTATCATTCTGCAGCCGTCACCACGCTTAACACAAACACTTCGCAGCGGGCTTTGGACTGATGCCAGCCGCGAAGAGGTGTGTTCTGTTGCCGAGATAATAGCTCTGTATGCTTGGATGGTATGTCGGTATGTACTGATTACATCTCGGCAACAGAACAGAAAGCTACACTGTGCTGGAGTCAATCAAACCGTTTCAGGCCACGCTGCGAAGCGGTTGTGTTAAGTGTGCTAACAGCTTTATAGAGGTTGTTCTTGCACTGATAGTCACAGTCGCATTCTCCGTAAATTACGCCGTCACTGCAGGTATATCGTAAAGCGCTGGGCATGGAACTGGGCGAAGTCGCAACGAACAGCCTGAGAAGGGTAGCAGCATTTCGAAAACGCTTGTCAGCACTACCAAAGTCGTCTAGTGGGTAAATAAATAAGGATCTTGTTAAATATGCGTACCCTAGACGTGCAGATAACCTCTCTGAGGTTGATGTTCATCCAGTTGTCGCAGCTGACAAGGTGGCCGTTGTATGTCTCGCCGTTCTTGAGTTCTACAAGCTGCAAACAAGTATACGGGGCAGTCAGAGTACGCTAGACACGAATGGGTCTTTCACGTGTTTTTCTCTTACCATCGGATGATTCTGGGCCGTCCGCAACAGGGATAGCGGCAACTGCGAGAAGCGCGGATCACACACTGTTCACTTCACGTCCAAAAAAGTTTAGCAAGTTATGTTAAAGGTGTTGTTTTTTTTTGGTATTGTGTGGCGCAGGTGTACAGACAATGCAGCTTACCATTCTGGCTCCGGAGTAATCTTTTCGGTTCTAAGAGAAAAAGAAACTACGAGAGAAATGCAACGGTAAACGAACACAATACGCAGCGATCGCACAGCGGCACAAGCGCCGGCTCCCTGGCTTTCTACCGAAAAAGTAGCCAGTGAGTTTACGAATCGAAGCCAATTGAAGCCGTAAACATATGAATTATAGACAAAATGTAACTTAAGTACCTACTATTTCTTTTATAAATGTTTGATTATAATTAACTGGTAGTGCCCCTTGCGCAAAGATTTTAAATTAAAACATTTGCGAAACTGTGTTTTGAAACTGACGTCACTTTGACGTAGCCGTTACTCGCATAGAGCGTAATGTTTCAAAAAGGCTTTCCTCCCTCCGTGCAAGAAAGTCTGTCGCTGCACGCAGGCGTTCAGGAAAAACCAGACCAACAACACTTAACCCGTGCGATATATTACGACTAGTAGGCATTATGAACAACCAGTGCGAACTAAAAGAGCATTCCTCGGACCCAAGAACAGTATTTTTGTTGGGTTTTCAGCGCACAACTCATATCGCACGTGTCCATGCCTTGTTTACTTCGACAAAACTACGACGTTGTAGAGATAGTTGTGGCTAAATAAATGCGCCAAGAAAAGGAGCCCATCGTTGCACAGGTCACCCAGAAACAATGTGGTGCCAATGTTTGACAAGTGTTCAAGACGTGTTTTCTTGATTTCTTGTTGCAACGTTCATCTTCGGGAAATAAAGTACGAGCAAAACTATTCGCCTGCTCACGTACGCTTATCCTCGGCCTGTTTGCAACTAGGCTCCGTCGTACGGTGATGACGCACAGAATATATAATTGACGGGTAAATACTTTTAAAAATGCAGGGGCCAAACCAAAAAGAACTATCGGTTAATAAGAAGGTCAAGGAAACGCAGACTGATATGTGGAGAATCGGCATGATTAAGAAGTCCGCACTAGAGATCTATCGAACTTTTAAGCAGGAAATTGTCAAGGAAAGGATCTATGATAATACTCGGGGTAGTTCTCTACTGTTTGAGGCCAGGACAGGAGTAATCGAACCAAGACATATCGGGCCAAATACGAAGGGGTAGAGACGGTATGCAGTGCATGCGGAGAGGAGGAGGAAACTGCCGAACGTTTGATAATGTTCTGTAAAGGGCTTCACCTTATAGTTCAGGATGATGGCGCAGAGTTTTTCAAAGCACTGGGGTTTAGGGACAGGGAAGGCAAAATAGACTTTAGTGGGTAGAATTAACTAGAAGGAGGATATCTGATTGGTGGCTAAAGTCAAGGCACGAGTGAAAATTAAACCATTCACTGCAAATACCAGTCCTATACTTCACTATTTAAAGGGGGAAAAAAGATAAATCTAATTGTTGGTTCACTAAGTATTACGGCTAGGTGGCGTTAGACGCCGCCCGATCTAAAGGGTACAGCATCATCAATCCATCCATCCATAAGTCGCCATTCATGCGTGATGCACGCTAAAGATTTGAGCGGCTGTACGTTAGTATAGTAATAAGTACGTTATTCTAGTGTACATACAACTTACGGATTAGCGATGTATTTTTTTCTTTTTGATTAGCAAGAATGGATGAATAACGTAAGAGCAGCTAGAAAATCTTAAAGGGCAGTGTCATTATTCGTTGTCGTGAAAGGGCAGTGCAGTAAAGGGATATTTTGCGACCTGTTGCATGGGGTTGGAAGGGGGTTGTTGAGTGTGTTCTGAACTTCTTTGTATTCAGGTTGGGGATGACACGCCTTGGAATTATCCTCCTCCTTGAAATTTGTCTTTCAATCATTATATTTAAATCATTTGACAGTATTAGGTGAAAAGCTTCTGACGTGATACTTCTGATGCACGTGCCGCAAACGTTTGTGATTATACTGGGCTTTAAAGTAAATAACCGATCATATACCGCACGTGTCTCAGACACGCAGCGTGGCCCGAATTTCAATGATGACATGTCTTCATCCCATATTTCCGTGTGACTTCTTTGCTGCAATTTGTAAAATTGTGCCTGGTAATGCCAAAATTGGATCGTAAATGCTCTAACGTATTGTAAAATTAATGCTTGAGCCATTCATTGTGACCAATTTTAGCGTCACTTTAGAACAACCGCTTAAAATTGTAAAAAACTAGCACCTGCACACTGGGGGAGCAACTGAAATCACGTGCTCGTAAGCCCGGTCACGCTAACGCACAATCATCAAACCTCGGGAAGCGCGCATGGGGAAAAATGAAACTATGTGGGTGCTTCGAACGTGTCCGCTACCCCCTTAGTTAAAAGAACAGCATGCTTCATGTCTCCTCATGAGAGGCCTAAGCCCGGCCTTCTAAACTTGGCGTATAAGTCAAAACCACCTTGAGAACAGACGGGCAACAGAGCGAGAGGGACGAGGAACAAATATAGCTCCTGTTGGGTGTCTCGTGAATGTTCTGAAAAGTTAGGCCAATACTCGCCATTTTTTTATATAGCACGTCGCGACATGCCTTTGTCTACGTCATAGCAGTGGCGATGCCGCGTGGCGCTAAAAACTCTACAAGATGAGCTTTCGCGCTTACATTAAAACCAAGTAAGAATATCCATAGGCGTGCGCACATGGAAGCGGGTGAGGGGTGGGCAGGGACCCTGCCCGCCCCCGTTAATGAAGGCGGGCACATGCCCCGGAAACTCAGGGCTGGTTTCGGTTTCAAAGAACATGCACGCTTGCATCCTAAGATCCGGTCGAACAGAGTGAAGTTGATGTGAATGTTTGCAATTGTTGGCTTTCACGCGTTTTTACAAATATAAAAAATTAAATACCTCCGTAAAGAACTTCTTTTTTGTTTGTGTCTTTTCTTATTCTTTATTTTGTGAATTTTAAATCAGGCGAAGCGCGGTATGTACTTGCGTTCATAGCGCTTGCCTACGCTCATTCTCGCCCCTCGCTCAGCGATATCACAAGTTGGATCGCGCTCAGTTATCTCGCTCGATTGGCATGTCAACTACGGGAAAGATAAGGACAGCAAGTTCGTGGCGGGCAGAAAACAGAAGCCGCAGTGAGCTATGCCGAACAAGTCAACCATGCATTCGTCGAAGATCGCTTAATCGGGCAACGCATGTTTTCCGAGGCTCTGCGGTGTGCCAACCCGGGGATTCCTTGTTCTGCGGAGGTTTTTCAGCGTTTCCTAAAGACAACGAGTGAGCACAAGAATTTGGACCCATTATTTGAGCAAGTATTGATTTTGCATGAGTACATACGAGTAAACCCAGTTCTCTGCAAGCCTGACTGAACCAACGGAAAGTGCAGTGCCACTTAACTAATTGCTGAAAACGGCAGCCAAGCTCCTGTCGGGAAAATGCGTTTATTGAAAGGCTTCTATTCCAGGTGGCTCAGAAACACATTCTTACCCCCGTATTCATAAACGCTCCTTAATTGACTTGAACTTGAAACTGCCTTCAATGCTGCGCGTTAGAACGCGTCTGTGCTACTTTGGCATCGCCTAAAGACCAGGCGTTCGAAACGTGTTTGTGCTGCATTGAAGTCGGTGGCAAGTCAAGTTCAAGTCAAACAGCGTTTCTGAATACGGGGGGCTAGATTATTTTACTTTTGGCGTGTAGTTCAAATGATGTGACTTAAAGAACCCCAGGTGGTCGAAATTTCCGGAGCCCTCCACTACGGCGTCTCTCATAATCATATGGTGGTTTTGGGACGTTAAACCCCACATATCAATCAGTTCAAATGATGTCATGTATAGGCTGCTTCCTGCTCATAAAATTCTTGTAGCCACGGTTTCAAAATTTGTGAGTCTTTACGTCTAATAGTGTCACTCAAGTACACGTGATGGACAAATTGCTTCTAAAGCTTATTACAGAGAATGTCGATGGACCCAACGTTTTTACAAGTGAACTTTTCATCGTCAAGGCAACGCTGTTGCCCTGACGATGACAGGTCAACTTGCGGAAACACTGTTTCCAACGACTTTCGTTTTCGAAAACTTCTGATCGCTTCAAGCCTCTCCGTGAACTTCAGTGTCGTTTGGTACTCAAATTCTGTAAGAAAGCTACGCGCGCCGTCGTAACAATCGGGATTGAGTCAAATACGACGTGTCCTACTCGCGATTGTTGATAATTTTAGCATTGGTTCGGATATTCTGGGTCAACGTTTGTTCATTATGTCCGTACAAACGGACAGACAGACAGACAGACAGACAGACAGACAGACAGACAGACAGACAGACAGACAGACAGACAGACAGACAGAGAGACAGACAGACAGACAGACAGACAGACAGACAGACAGACAGACAGACAGACAGACATATGGACGGACTCACGGACGGACGGACGCATGGATGGATGCACGGATGGTCGTGCGGACGAACGGACGGACTTAAGCACGGACGGGCTGACGGACACTTCGCCCCACTCATCATCATTCACTCCGTGGATATGCTGGGATTTTTTTCCTTTTTTTTTTTTTTCTCTCAAGCACTCCGCCATGTCGCCTTTTGGCTGACAGAAATTAGGTGCCTTTTTCTTCTTCACGAATCACCACCACCATTTGTCGCCGTAGGCTACAGGGCAACGTCCGCCACATCGCGACCACGCCGCCGAGAAGGACGTGGCGCTTAGGTGCGGTGGCGCTATCTATAGTTTTGCATAGACAAACCAGCTTCAGAAAACGGTCTATATTTTCAGACCTGCTGGGGCGACTTGAGTTTTCGAACTATTATGGGCTATTAAGCTCGCGAACAGTTGTCTCACAATGGCCTCTCTGAGAAGTTTTTTTTTTTTTTGTGCATATTGCAAGTACGTCACTTGGCAAATAAACAACTTTGCTTCCAATATTTTGGGTTTTTTGTTTCCTTCCTCTCCCGCATGCAATTAGCGAGCCACAAGACGCAATAATATCACGTAATAATAACGCCGCGTAAAAGGTCAGTAATTAAGAAAAAATTTGACTTTCGTGCCATGTAGTGCAAATGCACAACGTCGTTACCGCTGTCGGTCGTGACGTCACATTTATTTATTTTTTAAATTTTTGTTTGCTGTTGTTTCATCCTCGCGTAGATGGCGATGGTGGCAACGAGCCGCCCGACTACTGGATCCATGGGCTTCTATGGAAGTTACGCTACCAGTTCACATATCCAGCAGCCATGGCGTTACATTCCAAGTTGTTGCTATCACATAAATTTGTTCACCTTTGCGATGAAGTGCGATTTTTTTTCATTAATTTTGCAACTCCAGGCAAGTGACTGCATGGGGTGCCTCACGAAAAAAAAAATATTTGAGACGAGTCATTTACGTATAGCTCATGAAGATACTTATCGAAAGAGCCCTGACACCAAATTTGGAAACACGAGATGCACGTAGCCAGAATTTCTTTTCGGGGGAAGGAGAGGTCAGTTTATACTCCATGTATGTTCGTGCATGCGTTCATTCGTGATGCATACACAAGCAAAATTGAAAAACATTGGGGGGGTGGGGGGGGGGGAGTTGGAACTCTATAACCCACCATCCGGCTAAGCCCCTGGATCTGGAGATCGGTTTCGATGTGTTCCTGGAATCCTTACATCAAATACCCTTCAAAAATGACCAATATATGACGTATGGTAAAGGCCTTTCAAATGGCAACGTTATTTGTCATGTAATTGGCAACGTTTCATGATCTCTTTCCGTATAGGCAAAGGAATCCACCATATCGCAAGTTGTATGCCACGGGAAAATCCAGAGGGGAGGCCATTAGCTGACCCCACTTCCAATAAGCCACTCCCCCCACCCTCAGGCGAACATTGCATACACCCCTTGGCAGTGTCGTAAATCCAGAAAAATAAGAAGGGTGGAAATACATCAAACCGTGGCAGCCATTTTGCTTTTATGTGGTATACACTGTATCTTTATTTACATAAGATTTAAACCATGCTTTTCAATACAATTTAAAAACGAACATGGGGTCCCAGCTCTAGCAAATGCATCGTTCTACTATAGTATACTTTGAACTGGTCGAGCGTTTTTTTTTTTTTTTGGTTTCTATAGTACGACTCAGGTGAGGGGTGTGAAAGGAGGTGCAAAATCGTGACTCTATAGAAAAACATGGCTGCGGGATCAATGGTTCTACCAGACTGAAGCTCACATCTCTCCGTTTAGTCGCATCCTCTAAATTTAGCAAATCGATGTGCCGTTTCACGGATATTTTGTACACTAGCTAGGAACAAAAAATTTAGGCATGCATGCATCATCTCATTCACTCAGCCTAGAACATTCCGATTGAACATGCGCGGACATTGACTAAAAGCGAACCATTAGCTGCAGTGCTGGAACACCGCTACAGCTATACGACGTCAGCCAATCCTATGTGCACCTAGGACGTAACTGCTATATATCAAATGTGCACCTCGAAACTAACCATTAAACCAGCTTCGAATTCTTACGAGAAAAGACTCAGCCACATCTTTTACGGTTTGCCACACGTTTCTAACCAAGTGTTTTGTCCTGTTCCATAAACCTGGGGCCACGTCATCGACGGCAGTAAGCCCACTTGAAACGTTAGTTACGTTGACACTCCAGTCGCTTGCGTTCGGAAAGAAGTCTTCACCAAAAACCAACAATGGTGGAGGCTTTAAAAGGGTCACAGGTTCGAATACAGCAGGAATCTTGGTAATAAGAACGCCGGATGTCCCTGCAGGATGCAGTCTGACTGTAGCCGACCCACCTGAAGCTTCAAGATCGACGTATTCTTTGGATGCTGCAGCACTTCCGTTCACAAGAAGGACATCATATTTGCAAACGCCGCTACTGGTGAGCACACACTTAGTGCTTAAGGTTTCTTGAGCGCTCGTGCTCCTCACTTTGATGTCGCAGAAATCAGGGGCATCGCCTGAGTCGGCCCTGAAGCCCACGGAATACCTGACCGACACGACGGACACCATGTCAAGACGTGAATCTCCGCAGGCACGAAAATTGCTTTCTCCGGTCGAAGCTACCTGCAAATCCAAGGTCAGCGTGTAAGCTGTGCCTCTGTATGTCGGCTTGTACACAATCAGGGACGAATGAGATGGCACAGGAATGGTCATGGTGGTGTAGTGACCGCACAACGAGAACAGAGGGTCACCGTGCCCGTCATCGTTGCTGTAGATGCCCACTGGACATCCGGGTATCTCGCCGTCGTTCACGGCCCTGATGTCGTTGGCGATCATGAGCAAGCCGGACTTCGGTGGTGCTTCGAATTTGTAGCGACAATCTATGGTGTCCTCACTGGAGTTGATGCGCTGCTGCAAGAATAGCTTGACGGTCGAGTCTTCGATGACGAAGTGTCCAGAACAGCTAGCCGTCGACGCAGGAACGAGCAGCTTTTCGCAGAGTGTCAAAAGTAACAATGAATGATAGTGAGATCGAGCCTTCTTCAGTGCGCGAGCCATGACCGCGGCACGTGCAGCGTCCTCGGTTCAGAGACACGGATGAGCCAACGGACGAGCGATCGCAACTGTCTCGTGGCGATGAGTATGCCCACGCTGACGAAACCGCAGCTGCGACTATATGGAAAATGGCGTATGATCGAGATGTGACACGCGTCACTGTCCCGCTATGCTACTAAAACGCTGTGGCACGAATGTGCCGTCAGTGAATTGTGAAGCGTCTCTACAGGGCGACCCCTGGAAGCAGGTCGGTGTTGCGACCAAAGTTTGCCTGCACGGCTATAGGCAGCAATACTAAATTTGTGGTATTTCCACATCAACCTTCAACTATAACAGACTGGGATGGAGTACTTGACATGCACTTTTGCTGTATACCTGGATCACGGAGAAAGAAATATCCCGTGTTCAGTTTTTCTTCTCAGTGCAGCATCGACAGTAGTTCAAACAAGTCATGACACCATTCATCTAAGACGACTCGAAGGCAAAAGCGATCTTTTTTACCTTCTCAGGCGATGTATTATAAGAAAGGTGGGAACACGCACCTCTGCCAAGCACCGTCTATAGTTTCTTCTCTTCAGGCTCTCCAGTGTCGTACGCCACCCAAAATAGGGTGCTTCAAATGCATCGTGTGGCGTTACGTAATATGACGCCACGCCAGAATGTGTGACTTCTTGGTGAAGTTATGTTTTTTGCAATTTGTGATGTCATGATGACGTCATCACATCATGATAATATTTTGCATCACTCGTTTGCATAAGCGTGCGCACGGGGGAGACGCCCCCCCCCCCTAGTCGCTAATGGGGGGGGGACGAAAAGTCAGCCCTGTGTACATTGACATCATAGGTGGGGGGGCGCTTTGACGAAACTTCGCCCCCTACCCCCCTGAAGGGGAAAACTGCGCACTCATATATGCTCGCCGCGGAAGGTCGCCGCCGGTGGTGAAATTTTTCACTTGATGATGGCATCTAAGGCCGCCGGCCGCCGTGCAGCTATTTCTGCCGTCAGCGATTTCCACCACCAGCTGCCGCGCAAGCAAACCACCAATGAGCGCTTAATTTTTATTTCCTCACAAGGGTCTCGTCTCCTCCTCACACTCGTCACCTCTCTCCGTTTGCATTGCTACGGGGCGCCACAGATGAACTCGCTGGGGAAGAGAGAGAGAAATAAAGATACAAGGAAAGACAGGGAGGTTAACCAGACGCACATCCGGTTTGCTACCCTGCACTGGGGAAGGGATAAAGGGGAGAAAAGAAGTTGCAGAAAGATGAGAAGGTACACACAATCACGAGCACACTCGGGGAGCACACACAGTTTACAGACGGTCGCTCAGGTTTGTTGACTTAAGGTAAAGTAGCAGTGCTTTAGTTGCTTTCTGCGCAACTGAGGCAGATGCCCAAGGTCCTAGTATCTTCTGCACACAAAATGATCCGGGGTCAAGTCGATTCAAAACCATCCGTAGCTGGCATCGCTGTGTGTCGTAGCAAGCGCAGCTGCACAGGACGTGTTCGATGGTCTCTTCATCTCCGCAGTAGTCGCATGTAGGAGTGTCTGCCATACCAATGCGAAAGGAGTACACCTTTGTGAATGCAACACCCAACCAAAGGCGGCATAACAGTGTCGCATCGGAGCGGGAAAGTTGTGATGGTAGCTTTAGCTTGAGCGAAGGATCCAGTTCATAAAATTGACACCTTTGGAAGCTGGTAGACGACCAGAACGTGCGTGTGAGATCTCGAGCCAGCAGGTAAAGTTGTCTTGCTGCATCATTCCTTGATAGAGGAATCGGGACTACACGGGTTTCTTCATGGGCTGAGCGGGCTGCATCATCGGCTAATTGATTTCCGGTAATACCGATATGTCCAGGCAGCCATTGATATATAATATCATGCCCTCGTGCTAGAGCTTCATGATGGCAATGTCTTATTTCTTGTACCAGTTGGTCATGGCTCCTCCTACGCATGGCAGACTGCAAACTCTGAAGCGCTGCCTTCGAATCACAGAATATGACCCATTTTCCTGGACGTTCTTGAACGAGATATTGTAAAGCAGCCCTTATAGCAGCAAGCTCTGATGCCGTAGATGTAGTCATATGCGACAACTTAAACTTGATTGTCATTTCTGCAGCCGGAATCACAGCGGCACCTGATGAGCTGCTGGATGAGACGGACCCATCCGTGTATATCTGCGTTCGGTCTAAGTACAACTCATGTAATAATAGCAGTGTTGCTTGCTTCAATGCTACTCTGGAGTGACTGCTTTTCTTTTTGATTCCCGGAATTTCTAGACGTACTTGCGGCTGGTCGAGGCACCACAAAGGGCATGCCGTTCTCGCATCTGGCGTATATCCTGATGGAATGCTGTTTAGGTGCTTGGCTATGACGTCTGAAAACGTAGCACGTGGTCTTCCGGAAGGTAGAAGGGCCAAGTGGTGGTCGGGGACACGGCTAGCATGTCGAATGTGCGCTCTGAGGCAATCCACAACTATATATGTCCTGACCGGATGATCTTTGGCAAGCATGATTGTGGCATAAGTAGAAGCACATCGGGGCAGTCCTAGGCAGATACGCAGTGCCTGACCCTGCAAACTCTCCAATGAATGAGTGTTCGATTTGCAAGTGTTAGTCAGTACCGGCAAGCTGTAGCGCAATAGACCCAGAAATAGGGCCCTGTACAGCTGTAGCATGGAGGCCACAGAAGTTCCCCATGCTTTGCCGCACAAGAATTTCATGATATGCACAATAGATAGCAGTCTCTTCTTCAAGTACGCACTATGTGGGCTTCACGAAAGACTTCTGTCGATTATTATGCCCAGGAAACGATGCGTCCGTGCATATTTGACACTCTGCCCATTGATGTAAACAGGGTATGGCGTCATTGGTTTGCGTGTAAACGCCACCAACACGCACTTCACAGTTGATATATTTAGGCCTTGTTTCTGAAGGTAGGCTGTTGTGAGGGTTGCTGCCCGCTGTATTCGTGCACGCACCTGAGGGCGAGTAACTGCAGCACTCCAGAGGCAAATATTATCGGCGTATATGGATAGGCACACCGACTTTGGCAGAACCTTCACCAGACCAATGAGGGCAACATTGAACTATGTGGGGCTTAAAACACCTCCCTCAGGTACTCCGCGGTAGGTGTAATGTTGGGCAGTTGTACCCTCATATGTTTGTACTGAAACGGGTTGTTGAACAAGCAGGTGAACTCAGCGAAGGAGAGCTTTATTTAGCGCAAGGGCTAACTGAACGCAAGCCTGCGATCACAGCAAGTCTTCTTCTCTTTCTATCCTCGAGCTCCATGCCCACTACCCTCGTTACAATCACCCCCCGGCCGATGAGGGAGCCATCCTGGCGACCTAAGGACAGGTGTAGACAGAAGGGTCATGGTATGGCTTGAGCCGAGAGATGTGTACGATTTCTTTTCCCCGACGGCGCTTGTCCGGAGATGCATCCAGCGGCTCGACAAGGTAGTTGACAGGGGATGTTTGGCGCACAACTCGATAAGGGCCATGGTACCTGGACGAAAGCTTGTGGGAGAGTCCTGGAGTAGTAGAAGGAATCCATAGCCACACCAGTGAGTTCGGAGAAAAGCTCATATGCGTGGTTGACGCGTCGTGGCGATGTTTTTGGCACGTCTGGTCATGTGACGTGAACGCACGAGCAAGCTTCCGACATTCTTCAGCGTGTGCTGCTGCTCGAGAAACGGTAGTCATCTCTGAAGGGTCCGGTCGATAAGGAAGAATGGTATCCATTGTTGATGATGGCTCGCGTCCATAAAGAAGGAAGAAAGGCGAAAATCCAGTGGTGCTTTGCGTTGCAGTGTTGTAAGCATATGTCACAAAAGGGAGTATGCTATCCCAATTTGACTGGTCGGATGAAGCGTACTTGGCCAGCATATCCCCAAGTGTACGATTAAAACGCTCTGTCATCCCATTAGTTTGCGGGTGATAGGCTGTGGTAGTGCGGTGTATGATGCGACACTCGCTCAACAACGCTTTGATGGCATCGGAGAGAAAAACGCGGCCACGGTCGCTTAGTAACTCCCGAGGTGCTCCATGCCTTAAAACCAGGTTTTGCAGTATAAAACACGCAACGTCTTTTGCGGTAGCAGAAGGTAACGCAGCTGTTTCAGCGTACCGCGTTAGGTGGTCGATAGCGACAATGACCCAGCGGTTGCTACTCGAAGTATAGGGAAGCGGACCATAAAGGTTGATTCCGACACGATCGAAAGCTCGTGCTGGACTTGGCAATGGCTGCAAGGGACCTGTGGCATGTTGAGTGGGCATTTTGCGTCGCTGGCACGTAAGGCAAGACCTTACGTGATGGCGAACGAAACGGTACATACCGCGCCAGTAGTACCGCAGCTGCAAGCGGGTGTATGTTTTTAACACACCAGCGTGGCCACATTGCGGATCATCGTGGAACGTGGCACAGATGTCAGAGCGCAGATGTCGGGGGATCACGAGCAACCACTTACGGCCGATCGAGCTGTAGTTTCGGCGGTAAAGCAGGTTATCCCGAATAGCGAAGTGTCCTGCTTGACGGCGAAGCGTCCTGGAAACTGGAGCGGGCGTCCGGTTTGAGAGAAAGTCCAAAAGAGATGAAATCCAAGCATCTTTGCGTTGCTCGGAAGGCATGTCCGAGATGCTGATGGCCAAGGCAGCACTAGTGGAGACAGGCGAGCCGACAGGCTCTGAAGCAAATGGCGAACGTGACAGGGCATCGGCGTCGGAATGCTTCCGGCCAGAACGGTAGATAACACGGATATCGAACTCCTGTAACCGCAATGCCCAACGAGCGAGCCGACCATTAGGATCTTTTAGTGAAGATAACCAGCAAAGCGCATGGTGGTCTGTTACAATATCAAACGGACGTCCATATAAATAAGGCCGAAATTTTCCGATTGCCCAAATAATGGCGAGGCACTCCTTTTCAGTTACACTGTAATTCTTCTCGGCTTTACTGAGGGTGCGGCTGGCATAGGCAACGACGTACTCGTCAAAGCCCTCCTTGCGTTGGGCCAGTATGGCCCCTAGCCCGACACCACTA